CCCCGAAGTCACAAGGTCAGAAAACATAGAGTAGCGACCAAAAGCCTGGTTGTCCAACTCCTGGTTGAGTATTGAGGAAGAACCTGAAAGCAGTGCTGGTCTGTCATGTGCTCCTTGACACTCAATTATCTTTTATTTGTGTTTATTTATAATTATTTTAGTTTGCAATCAGAAATAGCAGCTAGGACCTTTATTAGAATTGAGTGGAAAACAGGATTCAGACAGAGAGCCAAAATGTTTAGCCCAAAGTCAGCTCAGAAAAAAAAAATTTAAAACCAAAAAAATCTACAGATGTTAATACAAATAACTATGAAATGACTTCCTAATAGTTACTAAGCATTGTCTGTGAGTCAGTGATATCCTGTGTACACTAATTACTACAACAACCTTATCAAATAGGTAGGAGAGAAAGTAAATTTAGGAAAGTGATTGAATTGCCACTAAGATTATATTCTCAGAATCCCTGAAAGATCAAAAAAAAAAAACAGAATAAAAATAAGGAAAAGCCTCCCCTTTCCTGAGCCTCTCTCCACCTTTCTTTCTTTTCTCCATCCTGGTGGACCCTCAGGCTCCTGACACTTTAGACCTATCAGAGCAAAGTGGGACCTCGTACGCCCTCCCAAGGTGGAAAGCAGACAGCCACCCCAGCCTGTGGTCTCTCTCCCCCCACCCCCGCCCCCAAACAGGGACCTCACCAGGTCTCTAACTTTTTGAAATGGAGCCCTGCATATTTCTAAAGGAAAAAATATCAGATGAGTGCTTAAACCTTTCTCAAAGCTGTGTCCAAAACAAGGTTGGAGGTTAAAACTATCCCCAGCTGGAATCTGCTAGACAATCCAGGAAAGACAACTGCTTAGAGCAAGTGGACATTTGAAGCCAGTGGCCTTTTTGAGTGGCAGGGAACAGGAAGAGAATGTTGTATAAGGATGTGGGGCAGATCCAGCACTCAGAGGCTGAGACTAACACCTTCATTAGGCAGAGTAAATTCTTAGTGTCTTCATCTGTTTCTTTTTGCAATACTGTTTTGTTAAGAGAGCCTCTTAGCAAAATGCCTTTATTTACAATTATGTATGTATCATACAGCGTCACAAATTCTGGATGCCAATTGAGGGATGCAGGCAGATGTACAATTAACAAACCCAAGGCTTTAAACAGGGCAGAGGCCAGTACACACTGTGTACATTTGTCCCCTGAATCAAGAATGGACTGTCATTGATGTGGATGCCTACTCCATGCTTTTCTCCTTCTCATAGCAAGTAAATTGTCCTCTGGCAGAACTCTGGGTCTTGGGGGACTCATTTTGAATGCACACATTCATTCAACAAATGCTTATTCCATGGGCTTGTCTGGATTTGGTGCTCAAGAGATACATGAATGCACAAAACCTGTACCCCAGAGGAGATGGTAGACTAGATTCAGTTACCTGAAGTCCAGGCCAGGATTGCCTACAGAGTAGCCCATACCTCCATTAGAAATGAAAATTCCCAGACCCTGCCTGGACCTACTGAGACCAGGGGCTATTAGTTTAGCCCCTGGAGCGAAAACATTTTTTTTTTAATTCATTGTCTTCACTTGATGCCAGAAGTTATAAAGAAATATAAATAGCCATATGGAAATAATTTGTCGCAATCTTCAAAAGATTATTTTAAGAATCTTAATGCTCCAATTGTTAGAAATAAGAACATAATTCAGGAGTATTTCACTGCCCTGTCTTCTGTATGCCAGAGGGACAGATCTGAGAACCTTTGATCAGGTCAATAAATATCTCAGCTAACAAGGATCTTAAGAGACCAAACAATATCCAAGCCTCTTGGTGAGTAGAGGAAGAGTGAGCTCGGTAAGGAGTCCACCTTCTGGTGGACTGGCCTGGTGCCTGGCTCTCCAGACCCTTCACCTCATATCCAGGCAGCAGCTCCATGTGCTGTCCTTATGCTTCTTATTCTCCCAGATATAGTGGGGTTTGCTCTGTTAATAAATCCTACACTGTTGTTGTTTTTGCATACTTTTAAAATTTAAGTAACATTGCATTATAACATATAGGTTTCAGGTGTGATCATTATAAATCAGTGTCTGTATATACTACATACTACATGCATTCACTAGAAGTTCAATACCATCCTTCATCAAATAATTGACCCCTTTTACTGGAATTTCTTACACACATAGCCCCTTCCTCTCAATGACACTTTTTAAACTGTGCTCCTTTTATTTTGACAGTCCTTCAAAGACCCAGCCATTTTCATTTGTCTCCTTTATTGTGAAAGTCCCTCACTGCCTTTCTCTCTGATTCCATCCTGCATGTTAGTGAGGACTACAGGTAGTGGGGAACACTGGCTGGAATACTGGCTTTCCACCAAGTTTCCTTGGCTTAGGGAGATCCCATTTTCTCTTAGGCAAGAAGATGAATAGTATAAGGAAGCATCAAATGTTGATGTCTTTTCAGCAGCAGAGAGAGCAGGGATATTCTGTCTGAGTGATAAACCTGGCCCCCAAAAAGATACCAACCCAGCGTAAGTCACAGTGTAGAACTCTGCCTACACTGCATCTAAACATTTGCCCTCCATCCCTCTTGCTATCCAGAAAACTTTATTGAGCCTTTCTTGGGAAACTCTAGAACTTTTTTTGTCACAGCAAATGTCTCCCAGAGATAAGGTTTTTGTTGTGTCTACTTTAAAGAGATGTTATGGGAAGAAAAATAAAAACTCATCAGCAGACATTACAACAGTTCAGCGTTACAAGAAAAAAATCTGTGGGTGTCAAAAATATTTCCAAGTTAAATATTTCAAGCTTGTGTTAAAAAAAAGCAGGGAGGGGGTGTTGGGGGACGAGGCACTCCAGGGCAGCGGAAGATGTTGGAGAGGCCTTTCAAATCATTTGTGATATGATTATTTTGAAAGCTCTATTCATGCTTACTTTTAAGGAAACTCCATTTCATGAATTTTAAAATACAGGAAATCAGAAATCTGCTGATGGGCTACTCCATCATATAAAGTGAACTTGATCTTGGAACCTAGTGTAGCTGAGGTGCCTGAGATAGGAGTCCAAGAGATTTTGAGGGCCTCCATTTCCCCATCTGCAAAATGAGGAAGGTATCTCTTTGGACCCCCAAATTCTGTGATTTCCCTGCTACCTTAATATGTCTTATGTTGACTTTGTTTTCAGGATGAATTTCAGAAAAGCTCTTAATTCAAGGTCACTTAATATCTATGGGCGAGCCTATTATAATTTGTTTGGGACCTGTACATAATAGTTTGCTTTATGCCAGTGTCTCACAGGAGTTGTTCTATATTTAATAAACAAGTTTTATACTCCACCTCTACCACAGGCTCCCCCACCCATCCTATAATAAGGAATCCAAAATGAGCCCACTGGATCTGAATCCATTTCTGACCGGAATATTTCTAGAGACACACTTGGTCAGAAATAAGAAAGAACATACAGCTTCTGTCTCAGAACTTCTGAAATTCTGCTGTCATCCTTCAGATCTACTAGATGTGCATTAAAATTTTATTTTGATGATGTAGATTGCAAAAATGAAAATGAGATTGGCATCGCTGATGGTCCAACATGCAGCCATTAAGAACAGGAAAAGAATTACACCCACATAGCATCCTGTCTGATGTTTCATGTGGGACCATTAATGAGCTGACTTTGCACAAACATCCCTCACTGATGCCCTAAGGTATGGCCTAGGCTAGTAAAACCATATCATTATGCAATCAGAGAGATTTCAGTTTAGATCTAGTGTAGACACTGTATGCTGCCACATGATCTTGGGCCCAGCGCTCCACCTCCCTGGCCTCGATCTCCTCACTATAATGTAGGGATAAAGATAATCACGATATAGTGCCGCCTCCCTCCCTTTTATTGAGAATTATAAGTTATTGTACACAGAAGTGCCTAATAAAGCATTTGGTACATAGTGAACACTCTTAAAAGCACACTGTTATTGCACAACATTGTAGATGTTCTTAATGCCACTGAATTTATGCCATGGGTTCAAAGGATCAATTCTATTGTGTATATTTGACCACAGATTTACAAAGAAAACTATTGCTATACCTGGCCGTCATCTCTTAGTGCCTTCATCATTACCAGCCACATGTTGACATTCTGTGTGCTGGGGGGATTAATCCACTGACTTAGATTCATAGGACATTGGTGACAGAAGGGACCTTACTGGTCATGTAGTCATAGCACCCCAAATTGTTATGTTCCAGGCAAGGACCAGATTTTGACATTTGCCCCATTCTCCAAAAGTTCTCTTCTGCATCCAAGTGGTTTTGGCAGTACAGGGCATGGGGGTGAACTTAGAGAAGAGTCCTTAATGGCCTGTCAACATCCGACAGCAGTGGCCCTTGTTCTTCCTGGGTGGAGGTGAGCTTCAGGTTTCTGGGAGACTTAAACAAGCTCTATTTTGAAGCCACGTTGCCAGGATTTCTTTTCCATCACTGGGTGATCTGTAGTTGGTATGCAACTCTGTGCTCAGCCTCAGAAATGTAAATGCTATTTTGCTTTTACTTTACCCAAGAAAAATGAAGACTTTTTATAACTAATTATAACTAATAGTCAGTAGCTAATTATTCTCTCCTTTTCTCAACTCGTCTTTGAACCTTATGGTCTGGAAGAGTGTGCCACCAGCCACTCTTTGGATTTTGATGATTATTTTGATTTGGGGTATTGATGCTGATGGAGCCTTTTAAGTATATGTGAACTTATGTCTCTTTAAAGATTCTGGGGAAATTGTCTTAGAATTTCCTGATTTAAAATTGTGCAGAATGTCAATGCTGGAACTTTTACCTTTTAGAGGGAGGTTGGGGAAGGCAGCAGATGGAGCAGCATGCTGCCAGTTTAAACTTAGGCCTTTCTACCTTGGGTATGGTTTGTCAACAAAAAACAATAGACGGATGAAGAACCAGGTCACCAAGCAGTAAGTAATTTGGCAGAAAAGGCCCTTATGGATACGAATTGCATGTGATACTATTCTCTTTTGGTTATAGCAAGCAGATGAGACTCTGGATTTTGAAGAACAGATTTTGGAAGCTGCTAAATCCATTGCTGCTGCCACAAGTGCCCTGGTCAAATCTGCCTCCGCCGCCCAGAGGGAGCTGGTGGCCCAAGGAAAGGTGGGTAGTGAACTGGTGAGGGCTGCCTATGCGGAAGCTGTAGGCATCACCAAGGAAACCAACAGGCAAGGAAGGCAAGGCCTTCCTTCAGTGAATTGCCCAACTCTCTAAAAACTCTGCTGAGACGTGACAAACAGAATGAAGAGTTTGGCTTCCCAGCCTCTCATCTGCTTCTCATTAAGGAAAGCATCCCACTCCAGACAGTCATCAGGGCCTGAATAAGACATTTATAGTCCCACTGTACATTAGGCTATTTAAAGACACAAGCTATCATATTTTCCTGGCGGATGGCTATACACGCACCATCATCGGGGACTTTATAATACTGTTTTCCAAATCCAAGGGCTCCATTCATTTTTTCAGAACCTTTGAGATGAATGTTGTCCAACTTTGTAGTTAGCGTTTTCCTGAACCCATTGGTCAAAAGGCCAGTCTGGTTTTAAATCTGAAATTTCTTCGATCTGCTTCATCTCATCACCCATTCCATCTGCATTACCTTGAAAGCATAGTTCTTTTTCAGTGATCCAAAGGATTAATAGTACATTAGATTAAATCCTGGATATGGGAAGGTCTTCCAGTATAAAACATTCCATGTGTCTTGTTATTCCTGTACAACATGGAACCACCCCAACCGCTTTCAAACAAGGAGGCACTACAGAAATCTTGTCAAGTTGTGGGTTGAAGAAATTTGCTTACCATAATTGTCAGTCCTTTTCATTTGCTATTAAAAGGCCTTTGCTATCTGTGTACAAATAAATGAATCTGATCATGTCTTGACCTAAGCCTTGTAATGTGGACAGCAAGTTATACCTAGCTACTGAGCTTCCTTCTTCCTCTAGCAAGTCTCTTGACAGCTTAGCTATGTCTTAGTCCAGCCCACATACTTTGGCTACTCTTTATAAGCCATCGTGTGATATTCAATACTGATTTATATCCATCTCCACAACTGGCATGCAACCTTTCCCTTTGTGCTTATTACTTATGCCTGTAGGCTTAGCATAGTGCCACCCTTACTTACTGAGTTGTTGCTGACTGATCAGGGTATAAAGACCAAAAATGGGTCATTGAGAAGATCACCTGATCAAAAAATTTCAGTTTATTTCAACATTAATGAAGGACTGCTGTATGCCAGACACATTGCTAAATTCTAGAAAATCTAATTTGGATGTGACAGAGCCTCTGTCTTTCCAGGAACTTACAGGTTAAGGCACTTTAAAAGTTGATAGAGGTTCCACTGGACTTAGGTGAACCATAAGATTATGTGCCAGACTTCGAGGTTTTACCTGACATTCAGTCAGGCCTGATAGGTTGTGTGTGATTACTGACAGATCCCCAATTTCAAATTCAAATTGAGAGACTTATCTCTATTTCCCCGGCACCTACCATGTGTATAAATATATTTCCTCCCATAGCTACTTCCCCTCTATCTCAACAGGAAATGTTTCATTTGTTCACATAAGTTCCTTTTTTAAAAAAATTTATTTATTTATGCATACAAGAACTGGGGTATAGGCCAGAGGCGCAGGGGGTAAGATGATTCACCACAGACAGAGTGGGGAACAGAACAGGCAGATGGATTGAAATACATTGCTGAGGGGAGCAGCAGGTGAGGCAGGAGAAGTCTGCTGCACCATGTAGGTTAGCTCCCTGGCTGGCTGGAGATCGAACTCGTGCTGTAGTGGCTGCGGATAGCTTCCTAGTGCTGCGATTTAACCCCCTGTGCCACCAGGGAGGCCTCTATTCACATAATTTCTAAGTAAAAACATAGGTGGTCTTATATCAAGCCTCTTCTCTCCCCATCTCTGATAAAATGGTCAATATTCAAGTTAAGTCTATACCTAGTTGTATGAAGGGAGACACCTCCCTCCCCTTTTTCACATTATCATCCAGAAAGTCACAGTGTGGAATCCAGGATCAGTAGTCAAGAGAGATTTAAGTTTTTCTTGACCCCTGAAAGAAGAGATCTCAGTAGCTCTCATGTTTGAAATGGAGAATGGTCAGCAAAGGAAATAAACATGTAAAGACAGCCCTAACCCATCATTTCTGAGCTATTTTCCCAGAAACACAATACCTACAATAAAATGGAAGCCATTGTGAGCATTTCAGATGGATTCCAGGTGGAAACAGCCAGAATATGCAGTCCTAGAATGGCCAGGGGCCGGTGGGGGTGGGGGGGTTTGTCAGAGAAAGAGGCTCCATCATCACAGCTGATGCTCTTAGTGGGATTTCTCAGTGGTGCTGTGTGTCCAGTGATGTTCCTCTCTAGTTCCGGGGCAAGGTGGGCTTGAGAGACTGTTACCCTGGGCCTTCTAGCTCTCACTGCAGATTTCAAAACTCCTCACTCTAGGTGGGCTCCATCCCTGCCAATGCTGCAGATGACGGACAGTGGTCACAGGGACTGATTTCAGCCGTGAGTCACCTTTTCCTTCCTCCCCATTTGTTTTTTGGGTCATCAGAGAGAGGTTTCAGCCTTGAGTCACTTCTCTGTTGACTGTCCCCAGGCCCGGATGGTGGCAGCTGCAACCAGCAGTCTCTGCGAGGCAGCCAATGCCTCCGTTCAGGGACATGCCAGTGAGGAGAAGCTCATCTCATCCGCCAAGCAGGTTGCTGCTTCCACAGCTCAGCTGCTTGTGGCCTGCAAAGTGAAGGCCGATCAGGATTCAGAGGCCATGAGGCGGCTACAGGTAATGGTCACTGATGCTGGTGGGAAAATACTCCTGTTGGAGCGGGTAAGTGTCGCCAAAGGAGACAGTCTCACTTCTTGGCATGACCCACCAGGCCTTCCATCAGCCAACTCTGTCCTACTCTTCTCATTTTCTAGTATGTGTGGCCATGCATCCTACACCTGCTGCCCAACCAAACTGACATTCTCCATGTGTGCCTTCCAGTCTCCTGCAATGGGGCCCTCACTCACCCAGAACATCCTGGTTATTTCCCCACCAGCCTGACCTGGTGAATGTCTAATCATCTCCTAATGACTCACCTCCAAAGTCACCTTTTCTGGGAAGCCCTCCTTGACTCCAAAGTAGTAATTCCCTCTGTCATGCCAGAGAGCCTGACCAGACCATTCTTAGGGCTCCTGTCACCTGAACCACCATGTTTATCTTTATGTCTGTCTTTGACAAGGCTCTGAGCTTCTTAGGGTACCACATTCTTCCCCTTATGTCTCTTACACTAAAGATGGTGCCTATTTCAGTGGAGGCCACCATTCACTGCTCATTAAAAAGAGGAGTGAAACGACTGAGGAATTTATATGAGACTTTTGCTAAGGTTTCCCAGAACCCAATGAACATGCTTATAAAGGTGACAATCGAGTCCTTCCCAGGGCACATATATTTTCCTGGGTGTTTTCATCATAAATGTACTTTATGGAAGACATGTTTAGTAAAAAAAAAAAAAAAAAATCACACAGCCTGCATGTCTTTACATGCCAAATATTATTTTTTTCTCTTCCTGTTTTATATTCAAAATAATTTTGTCTAGTTGTAATCAAAGCAAGAGTCAGTCTGCACTTTTTCCCTTAACATGTTATCATACATATCTTTTTCCTTAAAGAAAAGGCTTCATAATTTCTCTTTGCAATGCTAACTGGTCCATTCTTCATGAGTTTCATTTTTAATAATTGCATGAGATGACATCAACTGTGCCAGAGTTTCCCTGTACTTTGGATATTTTGTTTGTTTCCAATTTTCTAGATTTTCATTATTATAAGCATTATAATGCAAATGTTTATGTGACTAAAAAAACCTTTGTATAAGTCATGAATAAAATGATAAATGCATAAATATTTGGATAGTTCTACCAAAACTCAGAACTTGTTTTACTTTGAAATTATATTTCTATTGATTGGTCTTCCTGAGTCTCTCTCAAACCCATCTCTCTCTTCTGACTCCTGGGATAAGCACAGGACCCTCAGGAGATGTGTGAATGTGTGATTTGTAGGATTTGGAGACGCCTCAGATAAAAACATCCTGAGTTCTAGTCTGGCCCCTGCTATGTATTGTGTATGATCTTACATACATCAGCCAGAACTTTTCAGGCCTTAGTTGCCTCATTTGAAAATAACAATCAAGATACCTAAATTGACTCTTATGAGGGTCAAAGAAATGTGAAAGTACTTCATAAGTGCTGAGGATTACACAGATGTCACACAGCATCACTCATATTATTATTATTATTACTCCTTTACTGGGCATGGCACTGTCCCCAGAGGACAGTACAATGACCCAGAGGTTCTCTGGGACTAGGCAGACTTTGGTTTAAATCCCATCTCTATAACTTACTGGCCACAGGATTTTTGATAAGCTACTTAGCCTCAGTTTCTACATCGGAAAAGTGAATTAGTGATTTCTGACATCATAAAGCTATTTTGAGAATAAGTACATAATGACTACTTGTCAGATATTAATTGGCTTCCCCTTTCTGTCTTGTGTGAGCCCTTGGGGGGCTTTGCATCACCAGCCAGAGGAGGCAGTTAGCTCTGAATGAGAAAAGCTCTTAACTTTCTGTTGCTAACCACCAAGTGCAAACTGTTGACTCTGAGAGGCCCTGGGCTTGGAATATAGGAGGTTTATTGAAGCCTTGGCCACCATTAGAAGAAAATCCTATGCCTTAGCTGGCAGAAGACAATTCCCTGGGGTCATGCTTCATGAGCACCAAAAGAAAACTGGTGTGAACCTACTGAAGAGCTAGTACTTCACATTAAAAAATCATAGACTTCACATTACCCTTCTCTAGCAATTGTCCCATCCTTGAGCATGTGACATAAAGCCCAACTATAACTCAAAAAAATTTTTTTCTAAATGTCCTGTGTTACCAGGGGATTCCCAGCCCTTACATGCTGGGGTAGGTTATACACTCATTGCCCTTCATTCCCTTAAAAAAATACTCAGTATAGGGGCCATCCCTGGGCAACCACTGCCAGATCCTGGGGATTCAAGTCACAGCCCCAAACCTCAAATTGTTTACTGCCCAAGAGAAAGGCAGACACAGTGTGGTGATGTCTGCAAAGAAGCTCAGAGCACTCCAGAAGCACCAGGAAGGCGGGGTCCTGGGGGAGTAGTGAGACCAAGGCATCAGAAAAAGTAATGTCTTAGACAAGTCCTCAATTATATCTGTGTTGCATGCGACAGGGGATGATGATTCTCTCAACCAAGAAGACAGCCTCTAAGTGTGTGTCCATTAACACACTGCTATGATCATTTATTTGCCTATTGTAATTCCCTCATATTTGTGTATTCTTGGAGTCTGGGAACTGTATTTCATGAGCTGAGGTTAGATGGGTGCCAATGTTGGTAGAATCAATGGACAAATGAGCAGATAGACACTAACTAGAGAGAACCTCTGTGTTATGGTTGGCTAATAAATTGATTCATAACCTCATGAATTGTACTTTCATGTCTGTTCTTGCAGGATCCAAATGGCTGTCTCTGATGATATAATGTATGTTCTGTTCCCTCTCCAGGCAGCGGGAAATGCTGTGAAAAGAGCTTCAGACAATCTTGTTCGTGCAGCCCAGAAGGCAGCATTTGGGAAAGCTGATGATGATGATGTCGTAGTGAAAACAAAGTTTGTAGGGGGCATTGCTCAGGTTTGTGATTAAATCTAGACAGTGCTTACTCCCCATATAAGCATTGTTATAACAGAGACACAAAATAATGGTGACTTAAACAAGATGGAAGCTTATTTCTTCCTCCTCTAGCAGTCTAAGGTAATGTAGTGGTTCCTTTGTGTCTGAGACTCATATTCCATCTGCCTTCTTGTAACAATATCTTGTTATCCCCGAAGATATGCCCTTGTCTACTTGATCCAAGATAGTTAAATACCCATTGGTCCTTCCAGCCACCAAGAAGAGGAGGAATAGGGGCTGCGTGTCTCTGGCTTTGCATGTATCATGTCCTCTCACATGCTATTGGTCAGCACTTACTCACGTGGCCCACCTGTCTGCCAAGGAGGCTGGTAAATGTAGTAATCTTTTCTGAGGAGCCATGCACCTAACTAAAAATTGGGGATTCTATCATAGAAATTGAGACATTCAAGGACAGCAATATAATTATGTAAATAAAATGATGCATTTAGAGATGCTGTCCACTCCAGGTATTTGAACTCTACAGAGATAATGAATGGTGACCCCTTCTTAGAAATTTTGTAGAATAGATGGTGTTCTGTCTTAGGAAGGAATGCATTTTTGTGCATATAAATGAGAAGGATTTCAGGAAATTAGGCTTACAGTTTGGGGTATGTGTTGGTATAAACCTATTATATGAGACTGATTTTCTGCCAAGAGCACTGAGGCCCCATTACTGAAGTTATTCATTCCTGTGAGCCTGATACATAATGGAGATGACATGGATGTTTGCTGTTTAATCAGTGTCTAGAAGTCAGCTTGTTTTCTTGGGTCAACTGGATCATTGGTCTCAAAACCCTGGCACAGAGGCTGGTCCTACAACCAAGATGCAATTCCTGGCACACTGATGTGTCCCACTGCAGCAGAGGCCATGGGTGCTCATGAAGCAAGTGGTGGAGAGGGAAGGTGTTTTCCTAGAAAGTTGTAGATCCATCCAGTTTGTTGCTTTCCTTCTAGATCATTGCTGCCCAGGAAGAAATGCTGAAGAAAGAACGAGAACTGGAAGAAGCTAGAAAAAAATTGGCCCAGATCCGCCAGCAGCAGTATAAATTCCTACCCACTGAACTGAGGGAGGATGAAGGTTAAGGCCAGAGCCCAGGTGGTGAGCCCCAGGGAACAGCTCTACAAGAACTGGACAGACAGTGTTCCTGAGAGGCTGGGCATATACCTGGAAACAGCCTGCCTCCCCCTGGGGCCTGCCCAGAGCCCTGAGTGCTCATGCCCACTTCTCTGTCCTGTCAGGCACCACTGCATGATCATGTCACACGGTACAGTGTCCCACCCACAGCTCCTCCACCACCTCCCCTCATGCCTCACCATATCTCAGGAGAGAGGGGGGCACACGTTTCGTGGACTATTACCAAAAAAGGAGAAGTCAGTATTATGTCGTTCTCAGACACCTTTGCTTTTGTTGGCCCTTCTCTAGCCCTGTTCCTGGGCCTTTTGTGAAATCTTGATTGGAAAAAAAATAACAGCTTGGGAGAAATCACTGATGTCATAGATAATGCAAGATGTTCTACTCCCTCAGGAGAAGATGGAAGTTGCAGTTGGACACAGATAATAAAAGCCACAAATATAATCCAGTGTGGACTCCAGGAGGGTGACCAAAGTCCCCCTTCCATGTCTGAAACACTGGCTTACCCAGAGGGTAAAGAAATCCTACTCCTGTTTGCACGCTTTCTTGCCTCAGTGTGTAAGCTCCTTGTACAGTCTAGACCCATCTTGTATTCTGTGGCCCAGAAAATCAAACAGTGATTTTTTTTTCCCTCCATAATCCAAAGGACAGAGTTATGGGGCGCTATCAGGGCTTGGTGAGCAGGAGCTGTAATAAAATATGTGGGCTCCTTACTCTACAGAGACTGTTTCAGTTCATACAAATTCATCCACACAAACTCATGTCCCACAAATGAACATCAATACAACATCTCCCTCATAAATAGTAAAAGTGGGGATTTAGCTGGAGTCAAGCACTTTTTTGATAACTCCTTTCCGGTCTTCTCTGCACTCAAAATCATCAGAATTCGTTATTGGAAGGCATCTATTAAAAAAAAATCTATCACCTGTCCTCCATCCTAAGATGGGCATTTTTCTCTGTTTCAGCATTCTTAAAGTGTAGATGCATCCTGAAGTCAATACAAACCTTTAACAAGATTGTTTTGCATACTATCATATCTTCTAAGGGAAGACGTGATATTTTCGGAGTTCATCTTCTGGATGCCACTCTTGCAGAAATTCATATTTTTCCACTCTTTAACTTTCCAGAACCCTGTCCTTGGAAAAACATTTTAAGCCTTGACTTTACCTTTAATCTGAGCCTGTACCCAAGTCAGTACATGGGAGACGAATGACTTGTGGATAGGTGCTAATGCATCTATCGTGTCTTTGAAAGGATCTGATGGGGGGACAATAGAGGTAGGTGAACATGTGGGATGACTGTTGAGAACGATCATTCCTCACTTCTCTGCAATTTTGTGGTGTCATGTTCTCATAATTCATCTACAGTATAGTTTCAAAGTTACACCCAGGGGGGAACGTCAATGCTGTGATCCTAAAAATGTGACACCTCAAGACCTTGCCCAACAGTCCTGCCTTAACAGACCCTCCCCCATGTCATGGTTATAGGATACAATTAAACATTTGACAGTTTTTCATATTTATAAGAGACTTGTAAGTGCTACATGTTGATTTGGTTTTTTTCCTCAGACATCTAGAAAGCTAGAGGAAATAATACCTAAGGAAAAGGCAAGTGGAATGTAGAGGGAGGCAGGCACCAACTCTGAAAAGGAGGGAGCCTTGGCTCTCAGGGGAAAGGTAACCCTCTTTCAATGGACAAGTACAACTCTTCGTCCCTGCCCTGGGGTGCACCCCTGCAGACCTCAGGGGAAAAACTCCTGGGGTGGGGGGAGGAGGGGTTCTTCCTGAGAGGTACTCCATGGATGGATAAGAGTGCAATCTGAACATCTTAGGAAGCAGCGTTCCTAAAGTTCAGAGTCAAGACATGAAAATGGCTTTATGGAGCAGCACTCTGGGGGCCTCCATGGCCTGCCCTTTTTTTTTCTTCCAACCTGTGGTATTGCCCTCTCCCCTTCGCCTGTCCCGTCATGGCCTGCTTCCCAGGAACCAGTGAGTTCTCTGTCCCTGCCTTGAGAGTTGTTTAAAACCTACATTTGCCACTAGGAAAACCTCCAGAGACAGGCCAAATGGAAAGGCCTGTCCATGTCAACCTCAAAGAACAGGCATAAAATTTATTTTCACAGAACTTGTATCAGTATCTTCCTGTCTGGGGTGTTCTGCTGCTAGGATCTTTTGGGAAGTCGGTTCCAAATTGTCACCAAGTATGCTGCTGGTTCTTCATTTGTCCTTTCTCATTTCATAAAATGGTTGCAAGGCTATACTTTGGGCATTAATCAATAGGTGCTACTGCAGGTGTCCCACATGACTTGAGGGGGGATTTGTTGTTCTTCAGAAGGAAATGCCACAGATAGTTGAATTTTGGGATGTAGCTTTTATTTCAAAACATCTAATAAGAGGATGGTTTCAGTGTAAATATGGGCCAGAGGAAATCCATTTCTCCTGTGCAGGGGGTACAGATGTGCCAAGAAGGAAACTAACTGGGTTTTGAATCCTTACGCTAATCATTGTGAAAGAAATTCTGGTCCCTGAAGGTCAAAAAGGGACTTCAGAACTACCCAGGGAATAAAAAATTGAATTTAGCTTGGTTCTGCCTTTCAAGAAGTCTCTGGATAATGATGCTAAAACCACATTCAATTAAACAACCACCCCTTGTTTAAACTCTGCCAGTGTCCAGTTGGGTGTTGCCCTGATAGTCAGTACAGGCAGGTACCTGGGTGGTCCTCAAGTCAGGTGTCCTGGGACCACAGGCTACCGACAGCAGGGCCAGTGGGCCACAAATGATGAGCAGCCTGTACCACAGCCTGTGCTCCTGACACAAAGCCCTTTAGAATTTTCATAGGCTTTCCCTGCTTGTCCTGGGCGTTTTATCAGTCAATTTAAAGAAAACCAAAGTCTATTCCTAATTTGTGAAGACATTGTAACCAAATTTCACCATCCTCTCCCCACTTCACCCTCACACTGAGTGAACCCTGTTAACCAGGAAACAAGGCAACAGTGGTTAAAAAAAAAAAAAAATCATGGACTCTGCTCCCTGGGGATTCACAGGCCTCCTGCTCATGAGCTTGTTTCCTCCTTGGCACATGATCCCTTAAATCTTCTCTCCTGGTTCTGAGATTCTGGGCTCTGTAGGGCCTCTGGGGATTCTGGCCATAAAACTCCAACACAGATTTTCAGCCTGTACAGTCCTCAGCCTCCTGCTGACCAAAGGAACGGCCCCCTTGGAAAGCCTTATGGGAACCAAAGAATTGGGAGGAAATGTCAACTTCAGATTAAGTGGCAGCAGAGTTTAGAAACCCAAAGATCCTGACAGCTGTGCTGGTGACTCGGGTCCTGCCTCTCCACAGCCTCTGGAGGGGTCTCTGCAGGGAAAAAAAGGTGTCTTCCCCAACAGGGTTCCCTAGTACTACCACTTAAAAGCGACCAAGACTGCTGCTCCATCTTTTTTAGCTTGTTCTTGGTATGTTGTGTTCATGGACCTTAAGAACAGGTGTGAGATAGAGGTGAGCTGCTATTAACTGAATAAAAACAAACTGCAAAGAGACATTTCTGTAAAAGAGGTTTGGATTTGACTTTCCTCTGAACCCATCTTCCGGCCCTCCCGATAAGTGTCCATGTGTAAGTCACCCGCTGGAATCTCCTGGATCCTCCAAACTGGATTTCAGCAGTGGCCTCTTCATCAAACTGTAAAATCCATAAGCAAACGGAAAGCTAAGCTCTGCCCTGTGTCATAATGTCTTTATTGATCTGATCACATAAATTATTTTTTTTAATTCTCCAGAAATAAACTTTTAAAGGAATGAACTTGTGTGAAAGTCTCGTCGGAACAGGAGAAAGATGGAAGAGAGGGAAGAGAATGTGTCTTCACCATGTAAGAGAAATTCCATCAGGAGCACTGGCTCTGTAGTTACAGATGAGTATGAAAAGAGTATAGAGGCTGTGTGTGTGTGTTTGCGTTCGTGTGTGTGTGTGTGTGGCAAAGTCACAGGGCACCACTGAATTCAATGCAATTTTGCTAACACTCTGAGGAAACGCAAAAGAAATAGGCCTTGAATGGGAAGATGCAATTATTTTCCTCAGAAAAAAGCAGGCTTCCTGCATAAGTAGCTCCGGGGCATTTTGACCACACATGCTAGCTGGTGTGGAAGACTGTGCAGCTGAATACAGCATGCAAATGCTCTTTCCAAGCTTGACTCTGGGCTCAACCTGGAAAAGCTTCCACCTCTGCCATTGAAGGTCTTCAATGGCAGGGATTATTATATCCTGTAGGGAGCAGGTGCAGATTCTTGGCCAGAGCTCTTGTTGGGGGAAACCAGACTCAGAAAAATGTGAGGTTTTTCTAATCTGCAAGAGGCAGAAGTCAAAGAATCACCGTAGCAACAGAGAAAGTGTCACTGGTATGTCTAGCAACTAAGGATTATTTTCTCTCTTTAAATGGTGATTTAGAACCCCTAGGCCAATTGCTAATGTTTTTTTATCTTTGACTTAGTAACAGAAGTAAGGATGAGATGCAGTCCAAGAGGGCGTGAGGGGATCAAATGTTTGTGGAGACCCCCTGTGTGGGTTGGGCAGACGACTCCCCCAGCTGATGCAGCCATGGAGAAGGAGGTTTGTCCATTTTGCAGAGGGCCTGTTCAGGACTGTGAGGCAGGTAGTGGTGGCAGGTGTGAGATTGGAATTGGCCTGTAGGAATTCAGATTCTCTGTGCTGCTGAATCAGGCTGTCCACCATCAAAGACCTCACTGAGGGCCCCATTCACTATGCAGGACACTGGGAACCTTACCTAATTCCCAGAGGAGGTTACAGCCCGAGAAGGCAAACACTCCACTGAGCCAGGGCTGTGGGAAAAGAGGGCAGAATCCTGGAATTTGAAGAAAAGGCATTTGAATCTAATTCCTAATGAACAGGAGTTTTCCAGACATAGAAGGAGTGGGGAATCCCAGGCAACAGGAGCTGCACATACTGAGGCCTGGACTTATGAAGGGGTGGATTGCTTAGAGGAACGAGCTGTGCAGTGAGGTCAGAACTTCAGCTCAGGGCGTGTGGCACAAAGGGGTGGGCCAGGAACACATCCCGAAGGGCCTGTGTCAGGCCAGGGCACTTGGAATTCTTATGAGATGAATGGCTCTGCAGGAACATCAGAAGAGATAGTCTGTCTTTGGATAATTCACCAAGGAGTAGAGGTAAAGTAACAAAGTTCAGCAACTCAGGAGTGAGGGAGGACTCAAGCTGCTGTGCAAGAAAAATGCAGAGCAAGGAAAGAGGGTGGGAGTCCAGCCAAAGAGCCTCCCTAGGGGCAGCTGCCGAACTGCTGAGGACAGGTCAGGCTTTATTAAAGGGGATGTTTCATCTCTAGAGAGCTAACACTGTCCACTTACCATGTGCCAGGCACTGACCTGGAGTACCCTCATTTAATCCCTACCATGCCAGGTACATATGGCACTGTCCTCATTTTATAGAGAAGTTACACAGCTAGCAGAGCACCATATAAAGATGGCCCAGCCAGTGAAAGGCCAAGTTAACACTCAAACTCCGGTTATTCTCAAACTGTATGTGTTTAACCAACGGCCTGTGGAAACCTGGCAGATTAGATAGAAGTTAGGATGATGGCTCAAGGGGAGCAGTGGGAACCACGGGTGCAAGTGGCCCAGCCTAGGACTTGCTAGAGGGACTGCTGGGTAATTGGGGACAGGGAGGATGGGAGTATTGGAGGCTGGGGAAAAGATGGGAAGTTTGCATTTGTCTGGGGGTGACTGGGGTATCTGAAGGGTCACTGAAGGAGTACCCAGCTAATGAACTTTAATAGGCAGATTACAGAGAGCCTGGCTTTATTCCTACCCCGTGTTTCCACAATCCTGATTTGGGGTCTTGGCTTCCACACCACAACTCTATCCTGAGTCCAAAGCACTGGTGCCCAGGAGTAACTGATAATTCAGAGAAATTCACCCATGTTTTTATTTGAACAGTCTCCATTTTGAATAGTGATTGTAGCAGTTTTGCTGCCGGGACTCCTCAGGTGAGAAGTCCTAACCCCAGGCGCTCTGTGTCCAGGGCTGGTGTGGGTGATGCTGCCTCTGAGAGGGAAGGTAACAAGCTCAGTACTTGCAACCATAATAAGAGTTTCCTTTCTGCTTGGGAATCTTTCTCAGAGACTCTGGCTTATTTTTAGAAAGAGAAGTTTAATTCTGTTAAGTCCAGAATTGAATGTTGAAGAAATGATTTCTGGGTTCACCAGCAGGCTGGCTATGTTTCTAATTGTGGCTGGGTCTTATGAGAGGGGCCCTGAGCCAGGTGTTGCCAGCACCGGATACTGCAAGGGCCTTCAGGGGGAAGCAGGAAGGGAGAGGTGGCCTGGATGCCTAAGCATGAGGGAAGATGCAAAGAGAATAAAAGGCACGGTGCTGTGCTTCAGAATTCTTAGACCATCCTGGGGAAGGCAGTCTGTGGCAAGGGAAGCGAGAACAAGGCACGGTGCCCACTGTTGGGTTGAAGGCTGGGAGGGCACAGGGACTTGCGAGGAGGTGGGTGGGCTGGAGCACATCCCAACGGGTGGGAATCAGTTAGGCTGGGGCTACCAGATAGGAGCAGAAAGCACATTTGGCATGCAGGCAGGAGTTGGGCATGAAGAGAAAGACCCATGAAGAGGCCTGAAACTTAAGAGGCAAAGGCCACTTTCCCTTGGAAACAGAGAAGAGACACAGCAGACCCTTCAAGCTGAATGCCCTTCTGCCTTAGGTCCCATTCTTCATGCCTGTGAATTCACCATCAACTTATATGATGGCTGAGAAGTTTGGGGCCATGAAGCAAACTGACAGCCCCATTCTTGGGCTTGCCTCCTGGAGGCCCCATGTTGGTTGAGAAAATGGGTCCTGACAAAGCAGATCTGCCCATCATGGGCTGTTTCAGGGTCACAGGGAGGAAAGCCCTTTGCATCCAAGTTTGCTGTTCACATTGTTACGCATCCTGGCTGGTTTTGACCACAGGGGGCAGTGTGGTTCCACAGACACAGCTAGGGCATCCCTGCCTTCCTTTAGGGAAAAGGGGGCCTTCATGATCAAATCAAGCTTAAGAATAATAGTATTGAAGTTCAACAAGTTAATACCTTAAGAAATCTCTATGAGAATGCATATAATAGATGGTGTTACCCTAATTGTTTTTGTGGACTCAGCACTTTTTTCTAATTTCAGCATATTTTGAGGATTAAATATTGCAAGGATCTTTCCTTAGGCAGCCCTGTTCTCAAGCCCTGTTGGGATTTGTCTCTCTCTCCCCTTCCTGCCTAGCACATACAGCATACTCTGTCTAGTATTACTAAGTAATATTTCATCTATGCAGCAACCTCATCTATGTCGCAGGCAGACATCTTGTCACATGTCACCTCCCCAGCACCTAAATCCAACTTGTGGATGTATGAGATACGTGATAAAGGTTGATTGTCTGAGACTATGCAATGAGCAACCGGTATTTATGGCGTGGTGCTCACTATTTTGATTTGAATGACTGATTTGAACTTGAATAGGCAAAAAAAAAAAAAAAAAAAAAGTTGTCCCCAAGCAGTCACCACACACCACACCTGTCCTTTTTTGGCCCCCAACCCTAACATGGCCCCACCATGCCACTGGGCAGCACTATTGCTAAAATGGCTTTTCTGAAAATTGCTTTCCCAATGTCCCCTGCTTAACAGAGCTGCAAAGAAACACAATAATAGTGAATATCCAGAAACTTCCTGGTGACACTTATTGTTCAGCAAAGTTGAGAAGATGGGCCCCAGCCAGAAGGGGGTTGCTAATGAAATATTGAAAGAACCTCAGCCACTGCGAGCTAACCCCAATAAAATGGTGCCCGTGGCCCAAATTCCACTGAACTATAAATACCAACTGGATTGAAAGGAAAAAGCTAAGGGCAAGTTTCTTTAAGAAACCCAGAGTTTCCTCCTGAAGCTCCATATCCCAAAAGGATACCTGATTTTCAACTCCTCTATTCTTCCTTCCCTTTTCTTACCTCATAAGGCAGCACAGTGAAGCAAAAAAAGAGCTTTAGACTTCAGATAGACATGGTTTGGAGCAAGTCGTTTAGCTTCCAAGTCTGTTGGAGGTATAACTGAACATTGTCCTTCACTCCCCAATATCAATCTACTTCTTCTCCCCAATAGAGGGACAGCAATATTTAGGAGGAATGAAACCCAAGTCAAGAGTGGGCCTGATTGGTCCAAGGATAACCCTGCTGGTGATTGGTTCTGAAACAGGCATACAGCCTGATTGTGGCCCAGAAGATGAGCAGCAGTGTAAGCTGGAGGCAGCAGTCTCTCCCTCTTCCACATTAGTGGTAAATGAAGCTTCTTCTCATCATAGGCAGAGCTAGTATTAGGATGAAATCTAACCCAAGGATAGCAGGGTGATCAAAGAATCTTATCTTTGGTGATAACTATTGGTCAGCTTGTCTAATTCTTCTAGACTTCCCTGTCCCTAACCAAATACATTCCTGCCTTGTGTAAGCCAACCTAGTTGGACTTAGCCAAAGCACCATAACTAAGACCAGACAGCAGTCACGTGGGGAAAGTTTGACAGGCGTTCGGTCACATATTGCCAGACTCCTACTGGGTCTTCAGTGAAGATTTAAATGATGCTTAACCTGTGACTCACCAGGAAAGTGTGATATTGATAATGTCTGGCTTCCAATTTTTGGCCTGCTTGATGAATGTGAAAATAATAACAGACAGACTGCAGATAGCTGTAGACTCTGGGATTTCTGTCCTATTTGTAAATTCTGTGATGAGCAACCAGAGTATAGGTCCTCCCACTTCCTCTGCAAGTGTCTCCATCCCTGCTCTCAGATGTCTGCCTCTGGTAAGCTAGAGAAATCTGTGGCCAATCACCTACCAAGCAAACCATCAGAGGAATGTCTGGTATGTAGGGTATGTGGTGTAGTGTGGGTTTGTTTCTTAACTATTTTGTCTGGAATCATTAGCATGGAGCTAAGGACCCCAGGGAGTCAAGGGGTGGTGGGAGAGAATAGAACTGTTTTGCCTTTTACCTATTCTTCCCCCCTTCCAATGTCCCTTCTGACCCCCCCAACCCCCAGTGAATTTTGCTCAGGTTCTGGCTTTTCCCTCAATAGGCCTAGAGTTAAAATAGAAGCAGAAGCAGCAAGGGGACATTTTCTAGGGGCAGGGGATCACTGAAAGCTACAGGGGAAACTAGTACAGGGAGGAGACTGAGCCATTATATGAGATGGAGCTTGTGTATTTCTCCTTCAGCATCTAACTCCTTTGCTCTCTGCAGGGGACAGAATCTGGCCTGGGGGCCTGAACCCTGGGTACTAGGTCTGGCCTGGTCATCTTGGGCACCTGTCTTCACTTTTCAGAACCTCTTCAGTTTCTTTCTTTTTTTTTTTTAAAGATTTATTTATTTATGCATACAAGAGCTGGGGTACAGGCCAGAGATGCGGGGGGTGAGAGGATTCACCAGAGTCAGAGTGGGGAACAGAACAGGTAGATTGACCAAAGTACGCTGCTGAGGGGAGCAGCGGGCGAGACAGGAGAGGTCTGCTGCGCCATGTGTGTTGCTCCCTGGCTGGCTGGGGATCGAACTCATGCTGCAGAGGCTGCTGATTGCTTCATAGTACAGTGCTTAACCCCTTGCACCACCAGGGAGGCCCAGAACCTCTTCATTTTCATGAGTAAGCAGACCTCTACATGACTACAATTGGGTCTAGATGGTGGACATCCTTGATGTTTGACATCTACCAATACTTTTGAGTATTAATTCTGTACCAGAAACTCTACTAGATATTTGATAAGTATCATCACCTTCGTCATAGCTAGATTCATTACATGTTTACAATATGCCAATCATAGTTCCAAGAATTTGATTGACTCCACAAGGTAGAGGCTAATTTCATTACCGATGAGGAAATTGAGACACAAAAAGTCAGATACTTCCTCCAAGTTCACACAGCTAAATAATAGCAGTTCCAAGAAGTGGGGCCAGGCAACCTGGCTCAAAATTGTTTCCTCAACCAACTGTGTTCAATGGTTGCATGTTATTTAGTTTACATAAAGCAAATGGGAATGTTATCTCCATTTTATGAATAATGTTATCTCCATTTTATGAATAATAATTTTAAGGATAGAAATCATACAGTTTGCCCAAGATTATACATCTTTAAAGTGTTGGAGCCAAGAGCTAAGCCTTGGTCTCTTAAGTGTGTTCACTACGTTGGCCTACCTCTCCATGGATTAATCCCAGCAGCAGATTTTTCAAGCTCCTGTGGTGATCACTGCAGGTTGATCACCTGCATCTGATCTTTGAGGTCCTATCTGCAACTGTGATGAGGATATCAAGATGTAATTTTCAAAAAGCTAAAAACATGATAGTCACAAACATAATGAACATGTATCAAAGATGTCTAACTTACCATAGGATGGCAAGATTCATTCAAAAATAAAGAAAACTAGTAATTATCACTGAAAGAGAATGTTGAAATAAGATAAATTATTTACAAAATTGATTCCCTATCAGGCAACAAAACCGTAACTGATGGGTTGTAATCTATTCTACCAGACAAAATCATGGCACCTCTGTAAGACAAGAGTTATTTGCATCACTACTGTGGTCTCCTACAATTTCATATCTACGTGGAGTTATGCAACATTCTAATTACTAGTAAATAGAAAAAGTCAAAACAAAAGAATATATTTCTAGGGAATTAGATCAGCCTCAGATGGATCTGTTGGGGCTATGCAGTCATTCTTTTGTTTAACTCTTAAGTTTTTGGATATTTTTTCCATACACTGAGCTGATGATCCACCCATGAAGAGCAGAATGTTTTGGATTAGAAAACCACTACATTCAAACTATGACCCCGCTCTTTTGCATACTTGTGCAAATTGCTATATTCTTCAAGTCTTAGTTTTGTCAGTTACAAAGATTTTTTTTTTTTTTAGTTAGGGTAACACTACACGTTCTTCAGTCTTGCAGAGTTTTTGAAGGACCAAATAGAAGATGATATAACAGGACTGGGTGAGTCATTGATTGGTCTTCTGATTTCAGGGAAAGTGAGGGTTACTGGCCCAGCCTCTAAATCTTAAAGGGGTATTGTTTTTATGGGTTTTTTTCCTTTTTTTTTTTTTTTTTTGTGGGACCCTTGCTGGCAGCGGGGGAATGAACCGGCGCTGCAGAGGCTGCAGGCATCCTCGCAGCCCAGCGCTTAACCACTGCGCCACCAGGGGAGGCCCTGATGGCAAACTCTTAACATGGCAGGATATACCACAAAGCCCTTTTCTCTCTCTGATGCTTTGGCAAACACAAGTGTTTCCAAATGAGTATGTGCCACCTACAGGCTAAGCCTGCAAAACTAGGATTGCAAAAGGCTTTGAAGACCTAAGTCACACTAAGGATTCAGAACTGCTGTACAGGGTGTTATTAATAATGAAGCTTTAGCGGAACATACCAACCCCCAGTCATCCCACTGGCCATCCCCGGGTGAGCTCAGAGGCGGACATATGTCATAATCTCAACCAGGGATTGGCAAGCTTTTCTTGTAAAGAGCCAGATGGTGGATATTTTAGACTTGGCAGGCCACATACAGCCTGTTGTTGCATAGTCTTTGTCTTTGTTTTTGTTTTTTACTACCTTTTAAAAATGTAAAAGCCATTCTTGGCTGCCTGGCTCTACAAAAAAAAAAAAAAAAGAAGGCTGAATTTGGCCTACAGTATAAAGATTGTGGACCCCAGCCTTAGAATCAAGGAGAGAGCTCTGGAATTCTGTTTTCTTCATTCCCCATCATTTGGGTTGGGCAAGCTTCCTTACCCCTCTGAGCCTCAGCATCCTCATTGGTAAAATTCTTTCATGAAATGCTTGCTGCTCATCCACTACCTTGCCAAGCACAAAAGGAGTGTTTTTGAGACTGAAATAAAATCAGAAAGTCCTGGCACATGAAAGTCCTGGCAGCATAGGGCACATCAGCCATTTCCTGAACCCTGAAATGGCTGCCCTGGGGGGAGGGGGAGAGCCATAATACAGGGGCTTCAGTTCCCTGAGGATGACCTGGAATCAGGCAGGGCTAGGTGACAGCATCCCAAGGACTTGTATTCTATATATTATATACTATATAACTATATAATATATATACACAATACATAATATTATATGTAATATATAATTATGTAAGACTTCACCCCTTAGGTGTGGTCACTGTAGCTCTCCTATCACCAAAGCACCCATAGTCCTCCACATAGTCCATTGTGCTCACCCCCCCATCCCCATTCCCTTATTCTTAACCCTCCCCCAACCCTTCCTGATGCCTCAGATCTATGGTCAGTTTTCAAGGGCTGGTTTAAAAGTTTGTCTTTGACCCTTTGTTTGGTTTTCCTACATTCCACATGTAAGTGACACCATCCAGTATTTGTCTTTCTCCTTCTGGCTTAATTCACTTAGCATAAGCTCTTCCAGCTCCATTCATGTTGCAGCAAAAGGCAATTTCATCTTTTTTGATTGCTAAGTAGTATTCCATTATGTATATATGCCACATCTTCTTGATACACTACCTCTTCTGGGTCATTTAGGTTTTTGACCTGGAGAAATTCTGAGCTGGAGATGGTAGATTGAAATAATTCTTTACTTTATCTAATGAGTAAATTCCTGAAAAGACTGGATAGCTAAAATCAGTACATGACTTAAAGGGAATCTCCATGTGCATTTTAGGGTTTTCTTGTTTGTTTGTTTGGTTTTAAAACAGGAGACTCCTTCTGCAAAGAAAATAATTTATTTGGCTTGCAAATTTATCTTTGGCACAGAGGATTTTCTTAATGTCTGTACTTTCGGCTACTGTTTCTTTTGTGAAAGTTCCCAAATTCTCACAGATGGAGCTTGTATGGTGTGAAAACAGATTCTTTAGTACCTAAGATGAAAACAGCAAATATTTCTTCAGTAATGCTGTACCAGCCCCCATTCAGCCGGATCACATACACTACCTCATTTACTACTCACAAAAATTCCATGACACAGGTTACATTGTTCCCATTTTATAGATAAAGAACCTGAGGTACATGCTTTTCATATGCTTAGAGGTAGAAATGCATTCCAAGCCAACTTGGACTCCAGGGCACATGGTCTCTCCCCATCGGGAAGAATGAGGTATTTTTCATCTGAGAAACTGACACAGAGAAACTCTACACTCCATCCTTGCATCCCCCAGTCTAACTGCCTCTGGACATCCAAATTTGGGGCCGACTTGAAAACTTTCTATCAATGCAGCTCTCCTTTTGTACAGTAAGAGAAGGAGCTGGGTTGGACCTGCCGAAACCACTAGTATGGCCGATTCCCCCAGTAACTAGAAGTCCTTCCTGGCCTAGGTCGCTGAGGTCAGTGCCAATGCCCAGGGCTGTGGTGGTCTATGGGTTGGAGGGAGCACAGGTACTGGGAAGTTCTAGGTATCAGATTCCCTGCTGAGCCTGGCACTGCCCTCTTTCACTGAGTCTTAGTTTCCTTAATTGTAGAGCAGACTTGCTGCATAGCCCAGCAGCCAGGAGGGACACTGCTGTCCTAGCCTGAAGGTGCCTCCCAGAATCATGATTTCCCAAACAGTAGACACCCTCCTAAGACACATCTCCCCACCCCCATCCCTCTCACACACCCTGGGGATCCAGAAGGGCACTTTTTAAATGAAATTTCACATTTAGGCTCTCATGAACAGTTACACTGGCGTGAGCTGAGTTTCTGCTGCTTGCCAGCAGAGATTGGCAAGGTGTGCCCTGATGAAAGCAGGTGGAGTGCTTAGCACAGAGCCGTGCCTTGCGCATGACAAACTATGATATTGTCAGTGCTTGTGGTTGTTGATACTGCCTTCATTGTGTTCCCAAATACAGTGTAGTGCCTTATGCAGGGCAGGGTAGTACTTACAATGATTGACCAAATCGACCAGCAAAGGTGGCCTCAAAGGTCACCAGAAGTATAAATACCCTATAGTGTAACAATGTTGTGACACTGCTCCAGGCCTGGTATTAAATTTACCTCTCAACTGGCTACCTGGGGGCCTGATAAACAGGGTTCTCAAGCCATCAGACTCAGGGCTCACTAATGTTGATGGAGTACCTGCTCTGTGCTTAGAACCAATATAGGAATCAGTGAGGCTCTCAGGATGAAGGGTGTTTGGTCAACACAAGGAAGCCTTTCCAGGAAAGCTTATATATTCATTTAACAAATATTTATTGAACTCTGTTATGCTATAGGGGTGGGGAGAGCACAGGGACTGGAAAGAGCTTGAGCTCAGTGTCCGGAGACCCTTCTTCATGATCTTCCCTCCAGTAAGGGTCCATGAGTAACTCCCCTCCCTCCCTAAGACTCAGCCTTCCCAGTTGCAAGAGCAGAGATAAGGGCTGGATTGGTAGCTTTCACATTTAATTTGTCCGAGGTTTTCCAGAAATTCCCAGGGGCAGTATGGGCTGGCGCACATAAAGGGGAGGTCAAAGGTCAGGAACCCACACCTGCTTCAACAGAGCTTCTTTAAAGTGATTTTTGATTTGGCGTTCCGTGTATAATTCCATTTGAAAAGGGATCTGCTTTTAGACCTAAAAACTAGACAATTTCCAGATCCCTTCCTGCCTTGTGAGTGTGAGAATGTCTGTGCCAGCCCTGCCTTCTCCATTGGAGAAGCTCTGGCCTGGAGACTCTTCTGTCCCAGGAAGACATGCCCACACTGTCCTGGGCAGAGCATATGTCCTGGAGGAGGCCTTGGGACCCACTCAGGAGCAATTGTGGGCCCGCCAGAAGACCCAAGTTCCCATCCTGCTCTGTCCTCTGTCCCTTCCTTTCTGTGTGATGCTGGCCAGCTTGTTAAACCCCCCAAGCCTTAGTTCTCTTCAGTCACAGGCTCCATTTGACAATGAAATAAAATGGTGGACATGCGACTTGACACAAAAATGTTAATAACATTGTAAAAGGAAAATCAAGATGGAAGAGATTGTTTAACATTGCCCAACTCCAAGCTATATATATACACCCCTGGTCAGTCAAGAGACACCAGTCTGATAAAGCAGCAGCTGTAGGCCTGCATGATCTGGGCTTTGAAGTGCTTTCTGTGTTAAATATCTTTTCTTCCTAATAAATAGCTTATGAGCTCTTTATTATTTATATTTATATGACTGGCAACAGCCTGGGAAAGACTTATCATCTTAGCCTGGTGATAGCCCTTTTTGCATGTGTTTGGGGGTTAAAGCAAAATGGTTATGGACTAGGCTGCCTGTCTAAATCCTGTTCTGCCCCTTAATATTCTTTGTGCCTTGGCTTCCCCCACTGGTAAGAGGGCAACAGAAATAGTACCTTGGTCAGAGGACTATGGTGAGAATTAAATGCACAAGGACATGTGGAAAATTACCTAGTCTATAGAGTATCTTGAGGACTCACTAAACTCCCTAAGCCAGGCTTTGAGAGCCCTGAAGTAGGCTATCATATTTAGATCATTTCATTTTTATAACACCTTGAAATGTACAATTATTCCCATTTTACAGGTGAGGAAACTGAGAATGGGAAAGGTCTAGTAATTTGCCCCCCGGTGACATATCTACTAAACACCTGACCAGGAATCAATGCTGGTCTCTCTGGTTCCAAGATCTGGCTCCAGATCTTGCCTTTGAACAGAAGCACTTGACTGAAGGTAGGGGACTAGGAGGGGAGTACTTGGAGTGCCTTTGAGCTGTAGAGGCCCCCACTGTAGAAGAAAGGGCCTTCCCACCAGGGGCTGACTAGCCAAGAGAAGCTGGAGTGCCAGGGCTTAAGCCCTCTCCTTAAACTAGTAAAATGGGTACAGACCTCTGACAATATGGTTCAACATCAGGCCACGGTGGAAACATTGGATCGTGGTGGAAAGAATAGCAGAGTGGAGAGCTGGCTGCCAATGCAGGCTTTGCCATTTCTGACAGTGATATTGATACATGGGCACTGCACACCCTGGAGGAGCAGGGACCAGGGAGGCCTTAGGGCAGATTGCCATAGCGACTCCCTCTGAGCTCTGTGCACAGTTAGCCCTGATTCAGAGGGGATGTCAGGGTCACTTAGCTGAGCCTGGAAGATGGGTATGCACAGCCTGAGAGGAAATGAGCTCTATTTTCTCTAAGCCATGGTATCAGCTTAGAGAATCCGAGGCCTTTCCCAGGACCATAATAGGTGATTTCACTCCCTGACAGAGGGAGTATCAGTTGAAACCCACTGAGAGTGAGAGTTTTCTATTAGAACAGCATTCCATAGCTACTGCTGGCCTTCTGCTGGGAAGCTCTGTTTCCAATCTCATAGATGTCAAACAATTTTAAAGACACAGGAGCAGGTTTTATCCAGCAAGGCTGCAGGGGTGGGTGGAATGTGACTGCTAACATTCCCACAGTAAATTTTCAAGGCAGCAACACAGCAGCCCTCACCCCCACCTGGCCTCAGACCTGGTCCCTTGTTCTGCTTCCAGCTAGGAGATGGACTAGAGATACATGTGCTCCTAAAATTGGGGTTGCCCATAGATACCCACACAGACCCTTTTGTGGAGTGGGTGTCCACGACCTCATGCCCACCCACCCTTATTCACACACCTAGCTTGTGGGCACACTATCCTGATCACAGGCCACAGGCAGGTCCCCTGTGGCCCACATTCCCTGCCAGCCAGCATATTCTGCATGCCACCTCCGAGGCAGGGATGGCCATGCTTAGCAATCTAAAGTAACACTAACAATAGTGTGTATTGTGGACCTGCACACTTCCCACTTCACTGCACATGCGTTGTGTGTATGGAGCTTCACCCTTAAGAGGTTTTCAACTTATGGCTGTTGTCCTCCTTTATAGATGAAGAAGTTGAGGCTTAATGAATAAATGGGGTGTTTATGGTCACTCTAGGAGAGCTGGCACGAGGTTCCAGGTCTCTCCATCTCAGCACAGGCTTCCCTCTGTTGCATGATGTGTCAGGTGGGACAGGGAGCAGGTGAGGCACTGGGCATTGAAGTCCAAAGCTTGGGGTGGCCCCCTCCTTATTCTTGTCTGATCCCTGGTGGCCAACAACCAGGGAATCAGTCTTTGAGGTTAGAAACATAAAAGTTAAAAGTTTCAATCAATTGAGCAGTCTGATTTTAATTCTCCTAAAAGAGGCCCCCCATTGAGCGATTCTCCTTTGCCAGTTACCCTCTGCCTTCCAGTTTCTGGGGGTAAGAGCCTGCTCTTAGTAATCTCAGGAGCATTCAAGAAAAAAAGCTATTCTTTGAAATCTTGTAATGTGAGCATGGCCACATTGATGGGATATTTAATAATGTGCTGCATAGGAAGGAACCACTCCCACCTTTCAGTTATGACATAATTAACCTTCCCTGGGGTCAGGTCATTATAAGGAAAGGCTTCTAACCTTCCTTACTCACTTTGGTAAACCACCTCTGGGAAACAACTCTTTTCTAGACTAAGAATGAGAAAGCTTTGGAGTAGCTGCAATAGGCACAGACCTGGATGGCCAGGGACTGTTCTGAATATTTGTACGGTGAATGAGACCTTCTGATGTGGGGGGCTGTGGGAGAGGTCAGGGCCAGGCTGCCCCAGGGGCCTGAAGCCTCAGGACAGGGGCTCAGATGTGGTGGCACCACTGCCATCTTGGATGCTTTGCTTGGAGGGATCACATGCAGGTAAAGAAAGCTCACCAGCAACCTGGTTGAGGAGATTGCCCTCAGTTTTGAGTGTAAGTTGTCAGAAAAGACTTGATTCATGAAGTAGCAGAAGGGCTCCCCAAACCAACATCAGTAGCACTGCTGCTGGGTGGTAGCACTGCTCCTGGGAGGGCTGGCTTTCTGTGGCCTGTGCAGGGTTCTGGGTGGCTGTGTGTGGAGTGGCACTCAAAGGAGCACTCAGGGCTTCTTGCCTCTAGTGAAATATATCTCACCCCACCAGCTGCTTCCTGTCCTGAGGGGTCCCACTGAGATTTCTGGAACCACGCGTTCATGCTGGACATTTTGCTGGTAGATGACTCCAACCTCCCAGCCCCCTTGCTTGGAAAAGTCTGTAAGGATCTAAGGAAAGACTGACCCTCTACCAAGCATACACCTAAGGTCTGTTTTGTGAAAACCAACCTTCCACTTCCACTGTGACTCCTCTCTCTCGAACTGTGTCCTTCAGTCCCAGCTCCTCATGGGAGCATGAAAAGAACACATTTTATCCTCCTCTCTAGGTCATTTTGGTGATGGGGTCAGATATGGTGTAAACTGCATCCTGGGTCACTGTTCATGAATCAGTCGCTGATGGCAACAGCTCTGAGGAGGACAGAGACAGGTGGGTCAGCTGGTGGATAAACAAACAGCTGTAAGAGAATGTGATTTATCCCACATTGGAGGTGAGGACAAGGTGTTGGGAGAGTGGAGGTGTCATGACTAATGCCTGTAGGAGCCAAAGAGGCTTTGAGGGCACAATGCCCTCTTATTCTCCCAGGGTACTGCCTGATTAGAAGACTGGCAGTATGCCCAGGTGATGCCGGGAGGGGCTAATGGGAAAGCAGTAGGACTGAAAGTGAGGCGTTAAAGTGCTAGCCCAATGGGTTGGTGATTCCTAAGACGGCCTGCTCTCTCCTTGCTCCTGAGAGAGGATTCTTAGAATAAGCTTCTTCTGATGAAGGTGTGAAGGATTCAGGGTCACTGAGTACAAGTAACAGAAACTAATGGGCTGACTTAAGCAAAGAAGAAATCTGTAGGAGACCATGGGGAGTTCATAGATTCAGCAGGAATTCTGGAAAAAGTACTTGGAAAATAAGCAGTAACCAAGAGAGGCAGGACCACAGCCAACAGGTGAGGGGCATGTCAGAAATACCTACCATTGCCAGGAATAACCTCTCAGTCATTCCTGTCAGTGGCGTCTTTCCTTCAAGGGCCTAAATCCCAAATGCTAGAGAACCGAACCACTGGATCCTAGGATATGGGGAAAGACCTGACGCCTCAAGAGACAGACATCAGCCATTCTCCCAGTGTCCTTTCCTTAACAGGAGAGCTGTTTTCTGTGGGGAATGGGCAACAGTCACCAGGAAGAACCATCCATTCTTTCAGGTGTTTCACCCCTGCCCTTAAGCTAAGGAAATTTTCAGGAATATCCTGGGAAACAGGGTGAGGGAAGGGAAGAGGCAAATTTCCTGTTTCTGTCTTTTACTATGCATTCATTTCTTTCTATGGCTTTTTGAGAAAACATCATTTATAGGCATAGAGATTCCACTATATAGGTGTGTGGGGTAGGGTACAGGAATCCTACACAGAACATAATGAGGATGCCACCATAAAGTTATTTTTAATGATCATTATTAAATGTTTGCTGTGTGTCAGACACTGAGTTAAATACATTTTTTATGAAGTAGGGAGAAAAAATTATTTCAAAAACTGGCTCCACATGATTTTTAATAGCCTCAAAATGGAAACCACCCAGATGTCCACCAATGTTAGAATAAAAAAGTTAACTTATAGTATATTCATATATTGGAATACCCTGTAGCAACATTCTGAGGGAATGGTCTGTCCCTGTAGGTGTCCTAGATCCTTTCAGGTAATCTGCAAGGCCAAACTTATTTTCATAATAATCCTAAAACATGGTTTGCCTTTTCCACTTTATTAACATTTACATTGAGGGTACAAAAGCAATGGTGAATAAAAAATTGCAGATGAGTTAGCACAAATCAAGGGCAATAGCCCTGAACTATACTAGTCAGTCATTATAGTCTTCTTTATCATACATTCTCAGAAAAAAATTGGCAATTTCACTTAAGATTATATCTTGATGAAACAGCAAAAATTATTTTATTAAACCTCAGCCCTTGCATACATGCCTCTAACATTCTGTGAGACACAATAGGAAGCATATGTAAAGCTCTCCCAAATAGTGAAGTACAACAGATGGAGGAAAAGCATTTGTGTGATTGAGTTGCAAGGTAAAATTGCATGATTGAACTTGTGCATGATTTTTGGTGCACATATGCATAAGACCCTGAAACTAGAATTGGAATTGCTGGGTGATCATGCATGTGTGTGTTCAACTTTTTTTCTTTTTAAGATTTATTTATTTATACAAGAACTGGAGTACAGGCCATATGTGCGGGAGGGTGAGAGGATTCACCAGAGACAGAACGGGGAACAGAACAGGCAGACTGACCGAAATACACTGCTGAGGGGAGCAGCGGGCGAGACAGGAGAGGTCTGCTGTGCCATGTAGGATTCTCACAGGCCGGCCAGGATCAAACCCGCGCTGCAGAGGCTGCGGACAGCTTCACAGCACTGCGCTCAACTGCCTGTGACACCAGGGAGGCCCATACATGTTCAACTTTATGAGAAAATGTTAAACTGTTTTCCAAAGTAGTTGTACTGAAAATCACATTGCTATAAGGAATTTATACAAGATCTTGTAAATCCACATTCTCTCCAACACTTGGTAATTTACGTATTTTTTCCAAATGGATGTCTATGAAAGAGTATCTCACTGTGATCTTTATTTTCCTAATCACTAATAGGGTTACATGTGTTCACTGGTCATATATTTTTCTGCCACTGCTAATTTTGAATCAGTGCAGTCAGCCAATGTCAAATAAAACACCAACATGAGCTTATGAGCTACCAGAGATTTTTAACATATTATAAAATGGTATCATTATTGGATATTTTACATGTTATAAAATGGTATCATCAATTTAATATATATTTTCAGAAAAAAATAAATGACACATCAAATTATACAATTTTTAGAGTTAATACTTCTGAACATTTATTCATCTGTCTATATAATCACAGACATTTTCCTCTTATTATCACCATCTATAATTGACTAAGATTTCTTCACATTGGAGAGCTGAAGATTTTTCCTAGTTGAAGCAAGTACTGTCAGAAAAGTGTAGGTTTAGAGCCTGTGTTCATGAACTTGACCTCCTGAGCACACTTAGTAAAGATAGTTAATATGTTGGGTTTTGTGTGCATTTCCTATTTGTTTAAACTCATGGTATCATTTTCTCTGTAATTGAATTACATAGCACTGGAAATTTGAAAGCCAGCCAGACAGTTTTGATGGATGGATATGTAGTGCCTAGTGATAATCGTCCACAAGGCACAAATAAGCCACAGTTTCTAAGTGCTCTCTATTCTGTGATCTACTTGGAGAGACTGGCTAAGTTTGCATAGATCCTTAGCAAATTTTGATTGACATCAATTAAAAGATGCAACTCAAATTCAGAAATGTTCAAAAGTGAGTGTGCACTTTTTCTTCAAATTATGTATTAAATTTTAAATGGATATGGATATATATGTGTGTGTGTGTGTGTGTGTGTGTGTGTGTGTGTGTGTGTGTGTAGCCAACGTTTATTGGGTATCTACCAGGCAACAAGTTCCATGTCAAAGACTCTTCATTCATTATCTCTAATCCTTATAGCAATTTTGTAAAGTATGAAAGAGGCAACATAACTTGACCATGCATCATTAGTGGCAGAATCAGGATTCAAATCCTGCTCTATCTGACTTCAAAGCCCATAAACTTTCTCCCATGCCCTAAAAGGCACAAATGCCAAAGATCAGGAGCCTCTTTTTTAGGTACTGAACTCCACGGGCCACTATTGGGAAAGATCTCAGACAAATTACTGGCTATTCTTGCCTATTATGTCTCTAAGGGTGGATGTCTCCCTTTATGAGGAGGTTACCAGCAGAGACCAAGAAAAGATTTACGAGAGTTGAGCTATGTTAAAAATAACAACAAGGTATTTACTTCTAATCCTGTTAAGCTCCCTTGAGCAGTGTGCAAGCTGAGCAGGGCAGGGCATGTTAATTGGTATGAGTACAGGTGGGTCTAAGGTTGCTGTTATAATCTCCCACATTTTCTCATTCCATGAGGGCTTGGATCACTTTTTCTAGTGTTGGTTGGTGCAAGCCCTTACCATCTTTTGTTGTGATGAACAATCATAAAATAAAATTGGTGTGCTACTTGTCAGCAAAGAGGCTCAGATTTGGCCCTGGGAGTGTACTTTTCTCATTAGGAGTGCCCTAGTGCAGAGGAGGAAGATACTTTAGACAGAGGCTATTCATGTGCTATCAGAATTCAGGGATTGTCATTTTGTCAGTTTCTGATTTACCCACAGGTCTGGTTTGGAGGTCCTACAGAACTGAAGAGCTCTAGGATGGGGTATAGAGGCAATTCCCTACCCTTAGAAGGACCCTAAACTATCTTGGACAAGTAAAATATTGTTTGGATATACTTCCCCAAAGGAATGTGTGTGTGGCTAAAAATCCACTCATGGGGTCTTTGAAGGATTTTTTTTTTTTTTTTGCTAATTTTTTTGCGTAGAAGAACTAGGGAGTAGGTGAGAGGTGCGGGGGTTGCAAGGATTCACCAAAGACAGAGTGGGGACAGAACAGGCGGATTGACTGAAATACACTGCTATGGGGAGTAGCAGGCGAAACAGGAGAGGTCTGCTGCACCATGTGGGTTAGCTCCCTGGTTGGGGATTGAACTCAGATCACAGCAGTGATAGCAGTAAGACTTAACCCCTAGGCCACCAGGGAGGCCCTTTGAAGGATTTATATCCACTAAACTGTATGTTGGCTTTTAAAATTCTCTATAAATTAGATATGATCAGCAGGAAAAAATTCCAACCCAAAGCAGAAGAATTTGAAAGTTTACTCTGTCTGGGCAACCTTATCTCAGGTAAAATATGATTTTCTTTAGGCCTTTTCTTGAAATGAGGAAAATAAGTCCAGAATCCCAGTCACTCCCTTTTTGGATAAATCCCTAGGACTAAAATGACCTGGATTTGAAAACACTGACTTAATTTACTCAACACAGTTCCCCTAACATCATGTTGACCTTGGGAGGAATCACTTTCACTTGCCACTCCTACCTTTGAATAAAGACTATCTACATATCAAACAGGATCCCATATTTCTTCAATTCAGACATGTCCAAACAATTTTTTAATTTGAGGTGTAATTACATACAGCAAAATTCATTCTGCCAGTTATTTGGGGGAAAATTGATACCTTAATATTTCATCTTCAAATCTACAATCTGGGTAACATTACCTTATTTCACTTGTATAAGTTTTCTTTGATTTCTTTTATTATATAAGTTAATTTTTAGCATATAGATATTGCTCATATTTTGTGACATTTATACTTAATTATAAATGGTTATTGTTGGGGCCTTCCTGGTGGTGCATGGGTTAAAGTCTCAGCACTATGAAGCTGTCACCAGCCACTGTGGCATGAATTCGATCCCCCACCAGGGAGCTGACCCACATGGTACAGCAGACCTCTCCTATCTTGCCCACTGCTCCCCTCAGCAGCAGTGTATTTCAGTAGATCTGCCTGTTCTGCTCTCCACTTTCTGGTGAATCGTCTTATCCCCCCCACCCCCACCTCTGGCCTACATCCCAGTTCTTTTATGCATAAATTAAAAAAATAAATCTTAAAAAATGATTATTATTGCTTTGGTGCTGTAAATGATACTTTTTTCAATTTAAACTTTTCAATGGTTCATTACTCACATATAGAAATACAATTGGTTTTTATAGATTGACCTTGTGTCCTCCAACTTTTTAACAGCATTATTTAAGATCCCTTGGGGTTTTCTTTTTCTTTTTTTTTTTTTAAAGATTAATTTGTTTATTCATACATTTATACAAGCACAGGGTACAGTCAGAAGCACGGGAGGGTGAGAGAATTCACCAGAGCCAGAGCGGGGAACAGAACAGGCAGACTGACGATGTACACTGCTGAGGGGAGCAGCGGGCGGCAGGAGAGGTTTGCGCGCCATGTGGGACCCTCCTCCGTGGCCGAGGAGCAGCCAGGGATCGAACCGGTGCTGCAGAGGCTGCGGGCAGCTTTGCAACCCAGCACTCAACCACTGCACCATGGGGGAGGGCCCCCTTGGGGTTTTCAATTTAGACATCCATACCATCTGTAACTAGAGACAGTTTTATATTTGCTTTAATTTATGCTTTTTATTTATTACATTGGCTAGGAACTCTTCTACAATGTTGGGTCAATCGTTATGTGAAAGACACTTTGATTTGAGGAAAGGTTTGTTATCTCTTCAAAACGATGGTGGAATTCCTTATATTCCCCAAGGGAAACTTGATTCAGGGGAAATGCTATTGACATTCATCTCACTAATAATAATAGTTAAGTATTGATTACTTGCTGTGCCCAAAACCCAGTACGCCAACAGTTTACATATATTATTTCACTTGGTCTTTACATCAGCCTTATGTGATTAGTATTTTTTAAATTAAGAAACTAAGGCTCAAAGAATTTAAGAACCTTGCTTGAAATAATACAGCTTAGTCTTTTCAGGTAGTGAATGTAAATACATTGCTTCCTATCTCTAACGTCCACGTCCTTCCCCCTACACTACAATGCTTATAGTCCAAATTGTTTCCAGCAGGCCTCGATCTTGTCTATGTGTGAGAGGCCTTTGGAAACTTAAAAATTGTAATTACTTGGCCCTTTTCCCACACCCCCCACCACCCACCCCAACTAAATCTCAATCTCTAGTAGGACTGAGTATTTTTTTTTTAAGTTCCCCAGTGTATGTTGAGCTAGTCAGGGCAAGAAACATTGGGCCTGTTACTCCAAGAGAGGGGCCCTCCTGTCCTTGTAGCACAGTAACCCCAGGTGCCTGGTCCTTGAATTTGGAAGCAATGCATATGGAAAGCTTAGCAGGAGGCAATTGCTATGTCTGCTCTGGGCTTGGAAGGCTCAGGGCTATAAAAGGCGAAGCTTTCTCCTTCATTTATTAAATGCTAGTAAATCCAAGGAGTATGTCATGGTATTTTAGCATCAACTTATCACATATGTTTGTGCTGGCTTATGTTGAAATCTTGATGGAAAACAGGTGGGATTCCTCAAAGCCACTGTTAAGGACTTAATGGGTTACAAAAGGATGCTAATGAAAAAGTTTGATGAGAGGAATGTTACCATTTCAGAAGATATGAGGGCACTCTCATTTCTCAGAGGGATTTGGCCTGCTCGGGGACTTTTCATAGCAGAAAACAAGTTCCTTGCATGGCTGTGAGAGGCAATGGTATCCCTGAAATGTGCTGCCTGGAGTAGCCGCTCTTACTAACAAATGAAACCTTCTCTAACATGGCAGATTAAGTCTATTCACCAAATAAAATGATATATTTTTAGGTCATTTTGTACTAAAAGTTTAGGATGCTTTTAAAAGTCTTTCCACCTCAGATATGACTTCCAATCTGGGTAACATTACCTTATTTGAAGTGTCCCCAGAACATGGGCCATATTTTTATCCACGAGCAGCATAAAATGCACATCATGGAAAATCCAGAAAACACAGAACGGTAAGCAACATAAGGCAGAGGAAAGTTTTTGTTTAACCATGAGCATGCTAGAACTTTTATATACATCCCCTTATTTATTCCTTCTAAGAGTAGTCAAGAGAAGCAGCATCATTCCTATTTACCAGTGACAACAATGAGGCTCAAGGATGCTTGGTGATTTGCTCAACCACCTGGAGGAGGTGGGTGGCCTGTCCCCCAAAGGCTCCTTCCCAGCCTGCCACCCTTCACAGCTGTAGCACGTTTTGTGATATTTTCTTCTCGACCTTTTTAAAGCATTTTTATTTTTTTATGTGATATTTGGACTCCATCATTTTGAACACATGAAAAATCCAGTTTGGCTTCCAACTATTTTTTTAAATGCAACTTTATTATAGATAAATTTTCCAAGTAGTTTTTAGCCTTTTAACATTCACTGGCAGATGGCACACAATTTGAACAACAAGCTTTGAAGAGAGTTCCTCTCTCCCTGTCCTTTAACACCTGGGCAAGGAATGTATCTTGGCAAATGTGGCAGTTGATGAAACTCAATTCAAAAAGTAAGCTAGTCTCATGACAAGGAGTGGAGTATGGTGGGATGAATGAAGGATGGCAAAATCAAAGTGAAATAGTAAACTGCTTGTCCTACCACTTAGACTGATTATAGCTCTAATCAGTTTTTAGCAAATCATTATCCCGACTGTTCATAAGGGAAGCTTTTTAAAAATAAGGATTTTTGTTGTAAGAGACAGGATGATATGGTTAACAGTAAAGAATTATGTTTGAATTCTTTATCTTATGTGAATCATATGTAAGCCCAAAAGATGGAGCTGGGTTTGTGCTGGCTTGAGGGAGGAAGATCCATAGAGAGTCCCTACCTCTTATGGCAGGTCAAGCAGGTGAAGGTTATAGGAAGCAGAGCAAACAAGCAAGATGGGTTCCAAACAGGCCCTGGGGAGACAAGCATAAGTTGTAGAGAACAGAGCAGGCCTGGATTTCTGGCTAAAAAGGCAAGAGCAAAGACCATGTCTGTCTAAAAACTCTATGCAGTTATGAAGTTCTCAATCCAAGATGTTGGAGCTGGCTAGTCTCTTCAGGTTGAAAACAAAACCCACTTTTATATAGCTAAGGCCCAGCCTTGGTTTCCTTTGCTTCACAATGGATTCACTGACCCACCCCAGAGTCTGTGGGTGGGATGGTGGGGACTGCAAACATGGACATTCACATGACAGAGTAAACATTTCTCTGTGCAGATGGGGTCCCTCTGCTTTCTCTCAACTTAAGGACTTTGCTAATTAACTACTAGGGCTTCCGGTGGGTGATTAGCCCCAACCATACACTAAATGTCTTGGGTTTTCACCCTTTCATATTTTGACTCCATGTTTTTTGGCTGAAGTATAAAGGAAGGGAAATTTGAAATGTTTTCTCTGACTCTCAAAGCCCCAATTCCTACAGGGGAGAATTGAAAACAAACCATTTTTGGATTCTTAGCAAAAGTGGCAGCTATATCTCTGCTTAGAAATCTGCAGGTGAAGGACGGAGCAAGAGAGAGTCTGTTTCTCATTAGAATTCTTGGCAAAGCATTTTGAGGCACATCTGGAAAAGAAGGGAGGACTGTCAGTGAGGTTTGTTTAATAAGCCCCTCTCTCTGGTCACACGTCTGTTGGCTTTTTCCTCTAAAGGTCATCTGGGACCAGGTTTCCCAGTCCCTCTGTATCCCCCTCACGTCTGTACATAATCTGTGTATTTTGTGTATAAAGTAGGGAATCCAAATAAGGAAAACCCGTTTTACTCTCATTTTTCTAAATGTCTATTGAAGTTCTCCTGCAGAGAATCTCACTTTCACAGATGCAATGAATTTCAAGAAAAGTCAATAAGAAAGATCCTTTATTTTTATTTGTGCAGATTTACATTTCCAGGATGATATCTTAAACATTGCTTTCATCTGAACATTACTGCATCTGCTTAAAGTAGCAAGTCTTCATTTATAAATAGGAGACGAGGGAATAAAAACAAAAATCCTGAGACTCAGAGAGAGTAGATGATTCACACAGTTTCACAGCCAGTGGGAGACCAATTGGAACTGGGAATTGGATCCCTACCCACCACAGCATATTGTAGATCAGACCACATATTATCCCTGCTTGAGGCTACCTCTCTCTAATCCCCATCCCTTCCCTTTTCCTGGATATTTCAGGTCTTAACTTAAATGCCTTCATGAAGGCCTCCCTGATCCAACTCAGCCTCAGGTTAAAGAATGTCTCTCTGTTAATACACTGTGTAACTTTTTTTTACGGCACTAATCACACATTTTAATAATAGTTCTGTATGACTGTTTAATAGTTCCCTCACCAGACTGTAAGCCCCCTGTGGACAGAACTTTGTCAGCACAGTGCCTAGGACATGATGGAGTAATACAGAACCATCATAAACGAGAAAGGAAACCACATGTTCTCTTTGGCCTGTGTATCTTTCCCACCCAGGGTTTTAGTGACAGTTCTCTGCTCTGCTGGGCCTTGTCTTTCGAGGCTGCTGACAGAGGAAATCAGTTCTGCTGCTGTTCCTCAAGGGAGCAAAAAAAAAGGTCATTACACCTCACTGCTGACCAAGGCCATTTTCCCTGGGAATATATGGGCCCTGCAACAGAGCAGGCCCAACATTAGCCTTAAGCAGTGATGCATGTCTATCTTGTTCATCACAGCAGCCTCAGTACTAAGCACAGTACAAGTCCATAATGTACCATCTGTCAAAAGAATGTTAAAAGGCTAAAAACTACTTGGGAAATTTTATCTATAAAGTTTTAATACAATAAGCTAGAAAAACAAAATGAATGAGATATGTGTGGGGTAGGTGGATACTTTGTGCTGCATATAGGTTAGTTACATGACCCCCAAGAAGGTGCAGTGGAATCTGGGATAAGGTGTGGGGTTGGGAAGATTGGATTATTCCCCACAGAGAAGCAGATTTACTCAGAGAGGGAGGGTACAGGAAAGGCGAGGGGAGGCCCCAAAAAACCAAGCCTCCTCTCCTGCAAGTCTTCATTCCTCATCAGGGAGCAAAATCTCCTTCCCTGACCATAGCTGGGGCAGTAGAGCTTCCTCTTATGTCTAAACAGGGCAGCAGAACATGCTCTTCCTATCCTAAAAGGTGCTACGTGGATGCTGGTCTTCACTCTGATCACACAACCCACCCCTCCTGAGAGCTAGTGTCCAGAAGCTGCCCAGCACCCCCACTGTCTGTCAGCTTGAGCTGCTATAACAAAATACCATAGACAGGCATATCAAGCCCTTAAATTTTTATTTTATTTTCAGACTTTATTTGTAGTTTTGTTTTGGCATATCTCTTATAAACTTTTTACATTTACTTTATCTAATCCGATAGTCTTTTAATAGGTAGTCTGTTTGCACTTACTATAATGACTAATCTATTTTATTTCTGCCATTTTTTTTCTGTTTACTACCCCCTTTCTTTGCTTTTTTTCCTAATCTGTAGCTATCTTAACATAGAACCCCCTCAAAGCAGAATCTGAGATAAGGGCTGTCTGAAGCTTGTTAACTTGAGGAAATGGTTCAAAGAATATGAGTGGAGCATGCTATGAAGAGTGAAGAGGGATGAAAAGAAAGCTGATCATCACCATTGGCAAAAGGGTTCCATCCCACTAGAGGCCCTTGGAAGGAGGTATATTAGTTGCATCTCAGTTGTTTTTTTTTTTTTTTATCCACAGAGATGCTAATATTGTGTTTTGTTTTGTTTTTAATGTGGCTATGTCATTTTAATTTTCTCCTCCTATAAATTGTATGTTTGGAGCAATAGTATTGTTCACAGTATGAACTTACAGCACCATCCTGACTCTCATTTAACTTTCACATAATTCTATAGATACTTTGTCATCTTCATTTGAGAAATGAAGAAACTGAGACCCAGAGAGGTGAAGTAACTTGCCTGAAGTCACACAGCTAAAAAGCAAAAGAGCCAGAATTCTCGTCAGTTTGATCCCACAGCCAACCCTCATAACCATAAGCTGTACCACTTAATATGGTGCTAGTTTGAGTTGAAGCTAATCCATACTTATGAGTTTCAGAGTCAACTCTTATCACAATCTCATCAGTGTTCAAGTAAGTCCAACTCTTCCATGAAGAACAACAATAAGACCAAGCTACTAGACACCAAGGTACTAAATGGTCGCTGTGTAGGATTGAACCCATCTCTGTCCAAATAGGAGTATTCTAGAGAGACTTTCTGAAAATTAGAAGAAATTTCATAAACTTTTATTCAAAGAAGGCTTTGTTTTGATTTTCTGTTTTTGGTCCACAGCTCTGTCTACTTCCCAAAGAGTATGGGTTACTAAGTAAATCAGGTAATTATTGACTAATCCAGGGGCTACTGCAATTGAGAAATTAACCATGTATGTTTTTCTTCTGCAGACTCACAGGAAAAGAATGTGAGGTATTTTCCCCTCTTCCTCTCTAGAGGCCTGTGTGTCTTGGAGGGCTGGGGTTCTCTTGCCCAGGGGAAACTAGAGGCCTTCCTTACATTGTCTAAGGTGCTGAAGACTTAACACTAATTTTCAGAGATGAACAGGGCTGGGGAGGGTGCCAAGGGTCCAGAGGTCATTAAGGGCTGGCAGGACTCTTGAGTACTGGGCTTCCACCAAGCACCCTGGAGGTGACAGGGCTTTGGGGGAAAGGGTGGGAGGAGACATCTGGGGACTGGACACTTGCCTTGTGGCTTTGGTTTTGGATAGGATGCTGTGAGCCTTTAACTGGTCTACCAGGGCTTGGACAATTGGCAACTAATAGGAAACATCACAGTTCTGATGATCTTTTCCAGGGTTCTAGAATTCCAAAGGCCTCGGATTTCTGCATGAAGGAAACTAAGGGGCTCTGAAAAGTGGCAAGGATTTAATTTTCAGAGGTCCTGGTAGGTGGGGTCTAAGTATTATTTAAGTTAATTTAGAAAATTCATGAAATGTGTCATGGAACACATTCCCAAGTGTTGTGGAACAATTTATATCAGTTACACTAATAATGACCAAATCCTGGAGGGAATTTTTCTAACATATTTGGTAAAACACATTTTACTTTTTTTTTTTTAATCCTTTGGAAATGGCTGATCAATAACTAACAGGATATAACCATTCCAAACCCTTCTTCTGGTAAAAATATACTCTATCCCTGGTAATTTAAATTCCAAATTACCTCCAGATGAGGCTTTAAAAACACTCTGCGATTAAATTCCACACCAAATGGAGTTTCTGTGGGAACCTTCACTAACTCTAAGGATGACCTGTGAATTTTTTAAAGGCCTGGGATGTGGACTGGGCTACAAATGCATCTTGGGGCTGCAGAAACCTCCATCTGCATGACTCAGCCTCATGCCCCAGAGATGAATGTTCAACTGGAAGCACCCTAGGAGGCCAGCCCTGGGAAATTTCTCTGAAATCTCATGACCCTTTCTCACCTACCTTTATTAGAAGAAAAAGGCAGAAGCTCAGGACTGAGGAGTCACTGTGTTGTATGTGTCTGTGTCTATGAATGTGTCTGTGAGAGTGTGTGTGTGTGTGTGTGTGTGTGTGTGTGTGTGTGTGTGTGTGTGTAGGGCATACATAGGCAGGCATCTGTGGTGGGGAGAAGGGGTGAGGAATACATTTGATTCATCTTAGTTTCTAAGAGAAGATGGTTCACAGCACAAGAGACCCAACTTCTCAGACAAGAAACCCCCTTGGGCACATATGGACCACCTGCAGCCCAACAGGCATGGCTGTAGCCCTGTCTGAGCGCAAGGAAGACTGGTGAGGGCAGGGGTCAAACTACTGTTTGGGTGAGAGGGATGAGCAAAGGAGGAACAGGAAGTAGGTTGAGTGGTGAGCCGGCAGGCAAGGGACTGGGGAAGCCAGGAGCAGTGGGGAAAGCCAAACCCCAAAGTACCCTAAACATCGGTGCTCTCAAATACAACCAATTTCCAGCGGAGGGTTGGGCTTCACGGTGTCTCCTGCCCCATGGTGGTGTGTGCATGCGCCTAGGCCAGGCGCTAATGAACCCGCATACTTTTCTGTTTTCTATCCTACCCTGCTGTAGGAAACTCCCACCCCAGGGAATGTGGGAGGAAACACTTATTTTCTAGTGCCTTCTTTGGTTAGATACCTTGTTGGAAGTGGATTGTTCTAGACACTAGACAGGCTGATGAGTGTCAGAGCTGTGGCAGAACCCATGAATGCTGAATCAAGATACAGGTCTTACCCTGACAGTTCTCTCACTGTAGGTCGCGCTCTCTCTACATTTAGAAACATGCACGTACAACACATCCTTTAGCCCCCTTAATGGAAGACCATAGCCCAGACAGCAAGGGTTTCCACATTACAGTAGTCTCAGTTTATGATGCACACACAAAACAAAACTGTTGACTAGTGGAAATCAGTCATTCTTTTATACCTTTCTCCTCTTTGTGGAGATGGAAAAAGTATCTAATTAGCATAGAATTAAGAGCATGAGTTTTGGAATCTGATAGCCTGGAATCTAAATTTCTACTCACTATCTTTGTGACACTGAACGAGCCACTGAAACCTCTAAAAGCTGCAAATTTTCATCAGAAAGATGGGATAATAGTTATTCATCTCATTGATTGTTGTGTGAACTAAATGAGGCAATGATGCATGCATAGCATTTGGTACCCAATAATCACTCAATAATTAGATGCTACAATTATTCAGCCATAATGATGGTAGGGGAAAAAATCCAAACAGAGTATCTGATGATCACAAAAGCAAGGTGAACTCAATCTTGTGTAGGAACAAGGATGTGGCATCTGTGTTGCTGCCAAAAGTATGGAGGGGTGGATGCCAAACCTAGAGCAAAAGAGGGAGTGAGTAGCAGCTGACTGGCCTAGAAGAGGGTCAGGTGTCAGGACACCCTAATCTTGAGATGGAATGTTCTGTGATTGACCCAGATGAATGTCTCTAGCCTCTACCTCTTCTGTTCTTAGGGTTTTAATGGGGCACATTAAAACTCTCTCACTGACAGAGAAGACTAAGAGAACCCCAAATAAGGGCTGAAAGCCAATACTGGGGCGGGGGATAAAGGCAGGGGGGAGACTGACACCAGGAGCCAGAGCATGTCTGCTCTTTGTCCCTATCACCTGTCAGCTGACAATTCTGCACAGTCACCAGTGCTATGGAGCATGACCAGCCCAAAGTAAAGAACTTGTTATTGACCACCCTGGCCCTGGTGGCACCAGTATGTCTCAAGGATGGTGCATTTTTTTTTTTAAAGATTTATTTATTTATTTTTTATACAAGAGCTGGGGTACAGGCCAGAGGCACGGGAGGGTGAGAGGATTCACAAGAGACAGAGTGAGGAGCAGAGCAGGCAGATGACAGAAATACACTGCTGAGGGGAGCAGTGGGTGCAACAGGAGAGGTCTGCAGCACCATGTGCGATTCTCGCCAGCCGGAATCGAACCCGCACTGCCGAGGCTGCGGACAGCTTCATAGCAAGGCGCTCAACCCGCTGCACCACCGGGGAGGCCCCAAGGGTGGTGCATTTTTAATGGATTAAATGTCTTGATTAACAAAAATTATTCACAATCATTATAAAAAAAAGTAAATTAAATCAATGCAGAAAAAATATGATGGTTAAGTGAGATGGAGTTTTCAGGTTCAGTATATTATACAAATTCACACACATATATAAACATATATGGACATTTTCAAACATACAAAAGTAGTAGTAAAAATAGCATGATGAACCCCATGTACTCATGACCCACTTTGAACAACTGTAGTTTATGCATGAGAGTCACAATTAAAGCAACATGGTTTGTAACATCTTTTGAATAGATTAATGACCTTCAGTGACTACATAATATATATGTGTTAAGTCTCCTGATATCCAAGCACCTACAATCTATCTCATTCCCCAATTGACTCGAGCAACATCCTAAAGTAAAAACAAAACAAAACAAAACAAAACAAAACACAATTATCTTGTCCCAATCATATAGGAAGCCATACACGTGTCTGAAACATGGGAGGTGTTTCATAAGAGCTGACAGAATAACAGATAAGAGCTAATGCTTATTGAGCACTTACTACATGCTAGTCATTCTTCCAGCTGCTCTACATGTATTAACTCACTGAATTCTCATACAAAACCTGTCATTCCTTCATTTCTGTTTTATAAATGAGGAAACTGGACATAAAGCAGTTAATTCACTTGCCCAACTTCACAGTTACTACTTAGTAGCAGAGTCAAGATTTAGACCCAAGGTTCCTGGCTCCAGAGCTTCTCTTCTTAACCGGCACACCAAAGTGTTGCCGAATCCACCTAAAGCAAAGAGTCACACAGGTAAAATGGTCCTGCTGGGAAAGGTGAGGATGGAGAGGCAAGTGCCCTGGTGGTGAACATCGCTGCAGGACACGTCACTGTGCTTAGTGCTTCCCTGCCAGAGCTGTAGGCCTCATTGGGAGGCTGCATTAACATCCTTCCTGAATGAGGAATCATCCTGGTCTCTTCAGTGCCAGGTCTTGGGGGTATTCCATATTTTGAAAAAATGCCTTGTATGTAAGCATGCATAAAAAAGTCAGGAAAAATATCCACCAAATATTAAAAAGTGCTTGTCCTCAGCCACCTATGAGGGCCGAGGGCAGGGGGGCAGGGAGGGAGGGAGTAGTAGGGATTTTTCTTTTTGCTTGTATCAGTTTTCATTTTTCTGTAATGAATATGAATTATCTATGTCATAGAGAATAAAGAAAGGAAAGCAAGGGGAAGAGGAAAAAAGAAAGGAAGTTAAAAATAACAAAAATAACAACAAAAACCCGCCATGGTGCTCTACAGTGTCCCTCAGTCATATGGGCTGGGGTGGGGACGAGAGCAGTGAGTGGAAAGGTTGGGAGCATCCAGGCAATAGGAGATGAGCTGCCCAGGGACACCGGCACTGCCTCCGGTTAGACCCAGCCTGGCTGTGAAGGTCAGGGGATGTGGGGCTCCCACTGCGTCCTCATAGGACCCAGTGACAGAGGGCACAGCAAGGCAACTTGTGTAAAAATACACAGTGCCCAGCTCTGGTTTCTGGAGGGGCCTGGGGCCCTGGGAAGCAGCTGCATTCTGGCACCTTCAGGGCCACACTCATTTGGCAGGTCCTCCCAGGGCCCCGCCTGTATGTTCTCAAACACGTGTCTTTGGAATTAAAAATAACCCTCCTCTCAGCTTTGCTGGCTCCTCCTGCCCTAAGCATTTTCCTGCTGCCAGCCTGGACATTTTCAGCCTTTAACTACACTTTTACCCACTACATTCATCCTTGCACTACTAGCCACTCTCCATCATGATCCCCTGAGAAAATAAAAAAAGAACACACACACACAAAAAAAAAAGGAATTTGCATTGTCTACCAGTAGGAGTTGTTACAAAACCTCCCTGGAATAGCTCGCTGATGGCACCAAAATAGCAACAGGGATCTTAAGAGAAAGTGACAGATCCTTCAGGGACTACTAAGTGCCATATAAATGTAAGTTCCTCTGTAGCATGAGGTAGGATTTGAAGGGTGCCACGAGACCTAACTTGTCCCCTAATCTGTCTAAAGTTTAAAATTCCAACATTACATTATTCCCGTCACACTAGAAAGTTGTGCCTCCAAAGTGTTATGTTAAAACATTTAGGAAAGTTGGTGCTGGTGATCAGAAAGTCTTAGGTTGGTAGAAATGGTTGTAATTTAAAAATCTTAAAAATACAGGGCTCACTTCCATGCTGAGCCTTACTCCTGTGGCTAAGGATCCACAGGTAGGTGTCACTTTGCAGCTGAGAAGGTCTCAGAGACAGGGAGCCAGTTGTAGAGGTGCACAGTGATTGGAATCCATTGCTTCTCCCATTACTGCCATTCAGTGATCATTTAAATGTTTAACTCCCCCGGGACCCTGAGGGGAGAGCAGGGTGCTATAGGGACAGAAAGCCCAACTCTGGAGATGGGAGGGGGGTTGTGTGAGGGGAACTGTGGGCAGAGGGGCTTAGAGGCCAAAGACATACCTCACCCGTTCAGTTTTTCCTGAGGCCATGCTGTTTTACAGGCAGTGGGGGAAAGGTGCTAGAGCAGCAATCCTCCATTTGGGATGACAAAACAGATTCACCTGGAGTTCCAGCTGCAGTTGTTTAATGCTGCTGCCTAAGGCACTTTGTTGAGAAACATACCAGGAGAGATTATTGATGTCTGCCATTGGCACCAGACTGGGCAAGATCAGATGTGTTTCAAGTGTTTGCCTGACCTCCCAGGACTCACCCGGAACCCCACAATAATGGCTGGGAGTAGCCTGTAAAGTAGGGGATAGGGGGGAGGTGCAGACCACAGAGCCAGACTGCTCAGAGGATGCAGAAACTGACATAGTCAACTTTCCCACCTGGAAAATGAAGTCACCTCCTCATCCCGTGCCTCTGAGAAACCTGGGAAATGCTTTAGGAGTGAGGAGACACGGAACCAAGAGAACAACATGGACTTTGCTGCCAGGTCCCTCTTTGGTCACAGGTGTTTCCAGAGAAGGCTGGGACATACCAGATGGTTAAAGGGTGCTCTAACCGCTTATGCCACAGGAGTCCTTGGGGCCCGCAGGGGCTCCCCCTATGCTCTCAGGGCCCTAGGAGTTTCTACAGGTTAGTACAAGGCGAAAGAATTACAGGGATCCCCTGCTTTTTGAAAGTTTGAGCCACGCCACTTTGCTTTTACGATAGACCTTGGTTATCACCTGTTGTCGTACACGAAGCATTCTGAAGAGTTCCGCTTTCACGACAAAAGTCGCAAAGAGAAGCAGCTGCTTTGCGGCAGAGGTGCTTTACGGCAGCAGGTTCTGGGCTGCGCCTGAGCAGCGAGTGGCCGCTTGGCCTCCAGAGACCTCCTCGCCGAGGCGTAGGTATCAGGGCTGTCCCGCCCTCACCGCTTCAGTGTTTTGTAGGTTTGCTGTGTTGCTTGCTGTGGTGGGGTGGGCTGCCTTGGGGGTCCTGGAAACCTCCATTTTCCCACATAAATGAGTAACAGTTGCTTGTTCGCTTTACTCCATTTGCACCTAGAAAGCTTTCCGGGAGCAGAGGGGACCTGTGCTCTTAGGGGGAGAGGACAGCACCCGTGGTCTCCAAAACTTGAGGGCCCCATGAGAACACCAGGAGGCCGAGCAGCAGTGAAGGGGGTCCAGCTGTGGCCTCCCCTGCGAACTTATAACTTATTTCTCACCTCCTCTCAGCGGGCCTCCAGCCACTCTGTGGCCTCTCCAGCTCCCTAGATGTGCCCCCAATCTTACTCCTTGGCCTTCCACTCGCGCGTGGCCTGACCAATCGACCTCAGCTCCCTTTTTTATGATAAAAACCGGCCCAGACAGCTATCCTCGTTGTCTCTAAATACGTGTCCACGTTCATCTCTGTCCTGCTGCTGTGGAAGGCTTGTCTCGCTTTCCTGAGGAAGCCCTGCTCTCCACAGGTACCTTCCACACCTCAGGATTGTCCAGTCTTTCCAGCGACACTGTCTCATTACCTTGCCCCAGGGACCTTTGCAGCTGGCTTCCATCACCTCCCTTCCCTTCACTGCCAAACACAGCACATCCCTGGCTTGCTGTGACGATTGATTAATTGGTTGTTGCAAAAGCAATCTCCACCTTCCACTCCCACAGCCCTTACTCTGTCTTTGGCCCCAGCACAAAGGGTTCCTTATCACCAAATTCTGGGCTCTGGCCAACCCTGGAGTCTCTTCCCTCAGCCCACAGACTGCTCACCTGCCTTTTCCCCAGGTTCTCAGGGGACTTTGGTGCCCAGGTGTTTCCTAAATTCTGAACATGACTCACCTCAGAATCCACTCCTCCACACTAAGGGACCTCATGTTGTCACAATGCCTGTTTCCTGTGTCAAATGGTGATAGTGATACTTGTCTCACAGTGTTATTGTAAAGCCAAAATAGGACAGTAGATGTGAAGCACTTAGCATCGTGCAGGACAATGTTAAGTGCACAATAGATAATTGCTACTAATTATGTTACAGAGCTAATTCTAGGGCTTGGTTGGTGGTAGGTGGTGATGACATCTGGTGATGGGCAGGGTATGGCACATGCAGTTGTTGAAATGAGAAACTGTATTCCTAAATCCACAATGGTGGTATAAACCTGTGTTACCTCAAAAAAGAGAAATAAACAACCCTCTGGTTATGGTGAGCTCCCCAGAGGGATGTTATGGCAGGAACACAAAATTCCACTAGGGAGTGCTGTTCCATAGTGCTGTGCAAGAGGGGTGATTTGAAGGGTAGTGTTGGTTGGATTGTTCAGGAAATCCTGGAGGGTTTCAGAGCTGGAAAGAAACACTCTTACGTGACCAGAGAGGTCCTTAAGCAAGGACCACAACCAAATCCCCTGAGTCCAGCGCATTAGTCGCTACAAACAACTGCTGGCCCCTGGGATAACTAACCCTGGTCCTGGACACTCCCACCACTCCCTTTGGGTTCCTGTCCTGCCAACCCTATGTTGGCTCCTACCTTTCCTCGCCTGCCTTGAGGGTACCCCTTACCCATGTTGACTCCCAGCTTTCAACAGCCAGCATGGCTGTGAGGAGAAACTGGCTTTGTGTTTGGAGCAGTTTGGGGTAAAGGGCAGGTTAATGCAATATATTGCCTCATTGAGCCAAACTTAGACAGGAAGAGCAATCCAATGAAGTAGGAAGCTTGAACACTCCCTCCCCTCCAACTTGCTCCTCACCTCCCCCCAGGGCTCTTACTTTCTTGCTATGAAGACAGTATATCTCTCAACATCAAACTGGGTCTGATTTTCCTGGCATAGCTATAGGGCTTTCTAGAGTCTAACCTGAACCTTCCAGACCTCATCTACTCCCACTTCCTCCTCCTTGCCTGCTGCCCCAGTCACAGTGATTTCCTTGAGGATCCAGGAGCACACCAGACCCTTCTTTCTCTTCAGGAGAACAGGAAAACTTCCTCCAGATCTTGGGATGCCTCTTCCCTTCTCATCTTCACATTCAGATTTCACCTCCTTGAAGAGGTTTTCTCTAAACATCCTGTCTAAAACACTACCAACTCCAGCTGCTCTGGTTTATGTCCATAATTTTCAAAAGTGAAAAACATGTCTCTAACACAAAAGTAAAATAAACACATGTCAAAGATTTGTTAAATCATTAATGAAGGAACCAGTCAGATTACTTAATGCTGGTTCCAAGAACATTTGAGGAATTGCTTATGGCTATTAAAAAGAAAAACTAAGATTTCTAAGTTAGATACAAACATGGTTTCTGTCCTGAAGGATGCTAAAACCATGTTGGAGGTAATCTTTTCCATTGTCCAGAAATCTGCAAGTCAACATGTAACTTCCCAGTGCCTGGTTCTTATCAAATTGTAAATATGTGAATCAAACACAGGTACGTTTGTTGGGGCATTAAATAATCTTTTGGTGGTTCTGTTAAACAAAGCCCATATACAACTTCGAAGGGGCACATTATACTCTTTTGTCTAAGTCCTACATAAATTTTCTCAACCTAACTAGAATTAAAACTCCATTAAATTCTAAACTGTTAATCCTGATTGCTGTGTCCCCAGATTCTACTTCAGTTCCAGTTACCAAGGAGGTGTTTAATATTTGTTGAATAAAAATTAAGATATCATATAATCAAAGGTTTTCCTAATCATGGGGACATTTCTGGTCCTGGTTGTCCATACTGTGTGAGTTTCTAAGAAGGACCAATGCATTTTGTCTGGAAGAAGCAAGGAAGGCTTCTGGAGGAGTTGAAATGTGAGCCAGACACTCTGTCACATAAGGATGCCAGGTAGACTTGCTTTTGCTGTGGTTGCTAGATTTGGCACATTCCTGACTCCAACTCTGTGATGCTAGTGTCTCCCACCTCCAATCCCCAGAGGCATTGTAAGAAGTGTGTGCACATGTTGTGGGTGGGGTCAGATGGGGCCAGGATGTAGGCACTACCTGCACCTCCTTCACTTGTCTTTGCCTTAGCGGCAGTAAGTGGGCCTCACTCACCTGGAGTGGCCTAGCAAGTTTAATGAAAGGAGATTTTGCTGGTGGCATCTGTGCTCAAAGTGTGAGCTGTGGGGCCTCCCCTGGTGGCGCAGCAGTTGAGCGCTGGGCTGCGAGGCTGCCCGTAGTCTCTGCAGCACTGGTGGGACCCGCCAGTGAGGGTCCCACAAAAAAAAATGTAAGCTGTGCCCCCTCCTGCCACAGCTGCTTAATGAGGGTGGCCTGTGTGCTGCTGGGCCCCAGGGGGCAGGCCTGACAATGCCCAGCACTTCGTCCAACCCAGCAGCTCACCAGGCCATAGCTCCTTCCACAGCCTGAGCTGGAGACTTAGATGTGTGATTATGAAAGTGGGTTTTTTTCTTCCCTTTCTGATCCCAGTCAGAGAGATGATTTCACCGCAGATGGTTCCAAATTGGAACTCTCAAAATATTTACTCTGCTACTGCAGCAGTTGGATTGCACAGACCTGTCCTTAGCACATTAGTCAGACAGGTCCAGCCTGTGGAGAATGCAGGATATTCTCGGCCTCAAGCACACATTTTAGAACAAAAGGCAAGGAACGTGGAACATGGCTTTCCTTGCATGGTATATGGTATTTCTGTGTGGACAGGGAGGAGGGATATTTATTTGGCACCCCCAATCCTGAGAGGCCAAGTCGCAGATGCCTCCTCAGCTGCCCCCATCCTTTAAGGCTTCGACTCACCTTTCTTTGGGCTCCTTGAGCAGTAGGATTTACTACCAGTTTGGAAAGGGCCTTTTTCTCCCAGGCAGACAGACTCTCCAGGGATCAGTGCTCCCACAAAACTTTGAAAGGAGGAGAGATTGACCAAGAAGTTTCCCTGAGGCAGAGTTGGTAAAATGAAATATTTGTGGGCCAAATCTTACTTCCTGCTCTCTGATACAATGGTTCTTTCTTTCAAGTAAAATTACTGAAACTGAGTGAAGACAAAGGTTATTGTCTCTATCAATTCTGTTTGCTTTAGAGGAGGCAAATCTACTTTTCAGGAGGTTTTGAAAACCCTGTGTGACAGCAGCAATACAATACTTCCATTTATGAAAGCTGGCTGGCACTTTCCATTCTGTATGATTGTGCCCCTCACCAGGCCTACAGGGCACCGGCCCTTGTTCTGCAGGGATGGAGGCTGAGTCAGGGTCTTGTAGGTATTAGGTGGCATATCTGGGGATGTTGAAGGGCATTATGGTCATTACAGGTTAGTCTTTACATTTTTCTCCTGTATCCCTCCTCTGGAAATATCAAGCATCATTCCATTAATTTTGCAGAGAAGAAACTGAGTAACAAAGGCAATGTCTTTATTAGTTTCTTTGGAACAAAAAACAAATCTGAGTCTTCTTCACTGTCTTTCCTTTAAGATCAAAGGAAACATGGCTATTTGCTCTGCACCCTCCCACCCCCATCAGGGGGCTAGCTGGTCACTCCAGTGCTCACCAGAAAATCGTGGAGCTGAGTTTTCAGTAAAATCCCCAGGAAGTACCCAGGTAAGTTGGAGATTTGTGGGAAAGATTCTCTTCTGATCCTAAAAATCCCAAGGGTGTTGCAGTTGGGGCTGGGGGAGAGAGGGGAGGATCCATAACAGGTTTCTGGACCCCAATGGGGATCCTGGCTGAGCTTAGAGATGTGTTAGCTCATCCCACAGAGCTGGTGGGGGGATGCTTCTGGGAAGGAGGGAGCAGCAGGCTCCCATCTCTGCTCCAGACCCAAGACCAAGTTCTATGGATGCTAAATTTTCCCTGGAGAGTTCATCTGGGGAGCTACCTGTAGCCCAAAGCCCAGGACCTGGGTCTTTTGCGATGCCTACCCTTTCCACCCCTCAGTCTCTCACTGGGTGAAGCAGGGCATTCACAACTGAGCTTTCCTCTCAGAGAATGAGGATTCAGGTGCAGTGCTGTATATTTCCCTCACCATACTCTGCTTGGTAAGGACACTACAGCCCGTGAAAGGAAGCACAGACCCAGTACCCCAGTCTCTGTGGCCCCACTCTCTGGGCAGACGTTCTGAGCACACACTTCTCCTCCCATCTGGGCCCCCCTTAGCCCTCAGCTCTTGCAGCCTTAGTGGCTGACAGCAGAGTCTGTCTCAGAAGAAAAAAGCAAACCGACTGAGATAGAGGCTGGTCGACTCTTGGGGGCAGGGGTGTATGTGTTCTGAAAGCCAAGACTTAGAGTTCAGGACAAACAGGGCTAACTCATGAGGGCCTGGCCCTTGGCTTAACTCTCTGCTGTCACTGCCCCGAAATTCATAGTGTTTTTCTTTTTTCTTTTTTAAATCCCCTGTCCCTTTCTTCCTCCCTACAATAATTTTCCCTTCCAACTTGTGTGCTTTTTTTTTTTTTTAAGATTTTTCTTTTATTTATACAATAGCTGGGGTACAGGCCAGAGGCACGGGAGGGTAAGAGAACTCACTAAAGACAGAGTGGGGAGCAGAACAGGCAGACAGACTGAAGACACTGCTGAGGGGAGCAGTGGGTGTGATAGGAGAGGTCTGCCACACCATGTGGGAATCTCCCTGAATGGCCGGGAATCGAACCACGCTGCAGAGGCTGCGGACAGCTTCACAGCGCTGTGCTCAATCGGCTCAGCCACCAGGGAGGCCCCCAACTTGTGTTTTGCAAGTAAAGTCCAAAGGACAGTGGGGAATGTTGGTGAACAGAGGACATACTAGCAGTATATGACCATGTTCCTTGCTGTTTCTTATACATACAGCTTCAAAAATGCCCACAAACACAGACTTCCAGGGGGCCCTCCATGCTGGAGAATTCATTGAGTGCAAGGTAAGCATGTCATGTCTGTGAACTGAAAACCCTAACAGGCCATACTTTCCAATCAAATCAGAACTTGCTTCCAATGCAGAATGAAGGCCATAATGTTCTAGGCAGGAACATCCAAGGAACTCTGGTATATCCTTTCTTACTCATGTTACTTGCCTGTAATAGCCACTGGTACTGAAAATAAGCTGGTGATTCCGCACACAAATTAAATGCTCTATTTATTTTTAAAACTGGCATTGTACAAATAAAGACCAAAAGAATTGATGGTACCAGTTTAAATTTTTAAGTTTTCTATTCTTAGATTGTCAGTAAGTAGCAAATAAAAAACCCTAAGACAATCAAATGGTAGATACTGGAAGGAAAAACTTTATACTTCAGTTCCTTTAATGTTTTATCCCCTGCTTTTTGAACAAGGGATCCATGTTTTCATTTTACACAAAGCTTTGCAGTGTAGGTCACTGGCTCTGGAGGCCGTGCTACATCTGACTCTTTCCCAGAACCTAGGCATCTTTGTACAATTTTGCCATTTCCAGTTCCTGGAGTAACACTGGGGCCTTATGTTCCTGAGCCCCCTTTCTACAACCAGTTCCATCATTCTGTATCTAGCCCATAAGTCCTTCCTTTATTTAAGTGGGGCAGTCTGTTTCTGAATCCCATAAGCAAGAATCCCCAACTGTTCCTCCTCAGTTTTCAAATGAGAAGACCAGGCTCAGAGAGGTAATTTGTTCAGTGTCCCACAGGAAGTGAGTGGCAGGGTCAACATCTGAGTCACAATAATCCCAGGAGACATACCCCTTATCCTCTCCCACCCCTGTGGCACTATCACTCAACTCTTTTTCACTGTTGTCCACACATGATACCCACTGCTATTCCAGACTGGTTGCCTCTGAGCAAGCTCTACCTCCAGTGCCTTCAGATCACAGATCTTTACCCTGTCAGTTCCTAGTAGAAGAAGCAGAAAGGGAGGGACCAGAGGCCCCAGACCACTGCCCAGTGTGGGAAACTTGCCCAGCCACCATCCAGACTGGAAGGTCTGGCTAAACAGTCTCAAAATTGAATATTATAGCTCAGCCCTGTTTTTAGGACACCAAGGGCCCTACCTGCCCCACCCCAGGCTGGCCTTGTGTTCCCTGGGGCTCCAGTGGGAAGTCAGGCACCATGTGTCTGAGAACAGCCTGCCTGCCAGCTGCCTTGGAAAATACAAAGTGTGGTTACCACCTGTCCTCCAGGTCTGCCTGGCTGGCTGTGAATTCCTGGTCTCTCCAAGGAGACTGGTTCTGGCCTGACCGGTCTCACCTCATTCTTCCCTAAGGCTTGCAAGAGGAACCCTGATACAGTTTATCTATAACACTAGCAAAACCTGCATGTCTGCCTTCTCCCCCACTCCACATACAGCTCCTTTGTCTCCCTCTACTCTTCTAACTTTTACAGTCACAAATGCAGCTGGCTCAAGTCTGGCCCAGAGACAGTTTTATAGGTTCATTTCTCTACCAAGGAAAACTAATGATTCAGGAAATGTGAGCATAGAGGGTAAGGTGATATCAACATAAAGATTATTGCTTTTGTTGTTGTTAAATGCTATGTGTGTGTGTGTGTGTGTGTGTGTGTGTTCATTCAAGGAACTCTCTTTTGACTAAAGTCAAAATCCAGAGTTGGTGGAGCCAATGACAGTCTCCTTGGCAGACATTCTCCTCTGCTAAGGTGCAGAGACCCAGGCCTACCCAAGATCCCTTGGTTAACTCTAGCAGAACCAAGATGGAAGCCCATTTTGTGACCCATTCTGCAGCACCTATGCCCCCTAAGGGCCTCTCCAGGCTCCAGGTGCAGTGCATGGCCAGGCACCTCCCTGAGTGATGCTGCAGGAAACCGTAGGCAGTGCATTTGCGTTTCCCAGTGCTAGCAACTGCAGTTGAGATGTGTTCTGTATCATGTGCTCTGTCTGTGGGACCATCATAAGCACTCTATTTGGGGCAAGTTGAGAAAAACCATTTCATTTGGAGAACAAATACTTTAGATTAAGATCTAAATCATGACTTAATTCTTTCCCAGATGTCAGACAGCAATTAAAATTAGGCAATGTTTATAAAAATAAAGCCCAACCAACGATTCCAAGTCAGAACAGAGCCATGTCAATATGCTTGTTTGGGCTTTCCACGTCCCTGTGTCTTTGAGAAGAATCCTGGGATAAAAAAGATGAGCTCAGGCAGTAAGAACCTTACTAGTTTGCTCTTGCTCTATCCCCACCTCTCGAGCATAGCCTGGTCCAGAACAGGTGCTCAGTGAGTGTTTGTGGGATGAGTGAATGATTGACTTCCACTGTTTCTAAGCAAGATTAATAAGATATCCAGGTGGGGAAGAAAGGGTTCTGCACTGGCGCGGCACTTCTCCCTTAGCACTCTACTTATGGTACCTCATTTAATTCTTAGGAGAAGAGCATTCTGAGGTGGGGGAGACTTTATAGCTGGAGAATCTGAGGCTGTCTTACTGAAGGTATTAGAAATATTATAAATTAATTTATAAACTGTAATTTGTGACTTAATAATATCAGTAACTGGTGGAGCTAACTGACTCCAGGCTTTCTCCTTCCCTCAAGGACCCTGAGGCGGCAGTTGTTCATGGCATAAAACCCTCTTTATCATCAAAGCAACCGTCTACCTATCTTGCTGACTGTGCACTCTGAGGTGGCCTCTGCCCCACCCCGCACACCTCAGCTGCAGGTAAAACAGTAGTTATAGTATTGGAAAGTGGTGAGGATGAGAGCACATGTGTGTGTGTTTTGTGTATGTGTTTTGTATTTGTATATGTCAAGTATGGGCTCCAAAGGCAGATAAGAGTGAAATGTTGATTAGTTCACTAACTCACATATATACAGCCCACAAGTGCAAACAAAGCACTTAAAATTCAATAATTTTGAAAATAAAATCACACAATATTCATTTTTATATTCTCTGTGGCTAATACAATTCCTGGCACATAGTAGGTTCTTAACATACATTAGTTGTATGAATTTATTGGGCTTTTTACATGTAGCATGTTGATTGATATTAGGGCCCATAAGAAAGAATAACCCAACATTGACTATACAGCAAAATAATAATAATCCTGTTGCACTTTTGGCTTTCAAATTACACCCTGTACTTTGTCATATTTATCTTGACCGGAAGGGGTAGGCAGACATCAATCCTGTGTTAACAGCATAAAGGCTAAAGAAGAGAAGTTATGTGATCTGCTGAAGGATCTCAGAGCATGTGCATGTCAGAGACAGAGCTAAAAACACACACCTGTGCCCTTGGCCCTTTGCAGGACCCTACACACCTCTCTCCAGCCTCCCTCTCTCCACTCATATTTGATCAGGTCAAACCCCTGTGAGAGAAAAACTTTGAACAGACCAGAAAGGTCTCATTTTTGCATCATCGTGGCAACCACCACACCAATTCTCCCAGCACACCTCTAGAGAGAAATATGGAAGCCACTTTCAAAAAAAAGCACCAGAACTATAAGGAATTATGCTCAATAAAATAAGCCAGAAGGAAAAAGAAAAATATCGGATTGTTTCACTTATAGCAGGAATATAGGGGAACCAAATAAGACATCAATGTAAAAAAATAGTAACAGTACAAAACACAACAAAGCAAAAACAGACAATTATAAATCAGACACATCCTATAGGGGAGGAGGAGGGAGAGGGATTAGAAGGAGGGAGGGAGGAGCACAGGGGACTGAGGTGATGGTGCAGGGGTGCCTTGGAGAAGGAGATTCTATGGGGACTACACCTAAGGGGGTGGGGGGAAGCAAATATTGTTTAAAAATATATGCTATAAATATATATATGTGCTATATATGTGATGTAAAATAAAAAAAAATAATACTAAAAAACAGCACCAGAATGATGTCCTTCCAGGAGAAGGATTATAGACCCAAGGAAATGTCTTTATTGTCTTCTTCCTTTTTAACCAAGAAGCTGTTGAATAGGCACAGACTATCCTATAGTCTTAAACTATCTTTCAAAGGCATTCCTGGCAGAAGGTGTCCTGCTATTCAGGATTCTAGGTGGGGAGAGAACCTGCAGCTGTTAATCTGCTGCCCTGCTAGAATGTGAATTGGCAACTCCAGAGGTCAGGATAAGAATGGCTCTCTCTCAGTCTTATTCCCCAGACAGCTCATGTTACTGGGGATAATTTTGATAGTCTGGTGCCTGTGATGGACATTTCCAGCCTGCTTCCAGGTATATATGAGCCATCACGGAACTGGAGCGGTGCTTCAGCATTATATGCCTTTCTAAAACAGTCTTGCTCAAATTTTATGTGCAAAGCAGCTGGGAAGAGCAGGTTGGTTTAGTCATCCTCCCAGCGTAGGGGTGCAAATGTTTGCTATCAGTGAAACCCATCCACAGGTGTAAAAGGCCCCTGGCCATCACACCTCCCCAAGGAAGGAGAGGTTCCTAGCTGCATAATTCAGACTGGACTGACGTAATTTTGTCCCAAATTCTCTCTCTCCCCCCACTCTTGCCTTACTGCCCACCATAAAAAGCACAGGTTTCAGTCATTACAAGGTTTTTGTACAATGACCTCATTTTCCTGTAAGTCTTCCAAATCTGATGCATGTCAAAGAATTATGGGGCCAAAAATCATTCTAGCAAAGATGATGCTCTGTCAAAAAAGTGGGAATATCTGCCAAAGAAAAAAAGGAGGGAGGTGCAAAATGAAAATGTAGAGGTACTGATGGAGTAAATGGTGAAATTTATATCCCCCATGCCATATCCCCACCCCATACAGAGCCAGAAACCATCCCTCTCACTTATGTTTTGAGACTCTTTATGCATATTTCTGTCACAGCATTCATCCAAGGCCCCCTCCAGTACATGCCATTCGCATGTCCAGGACTCTAGTGAGCAGAACCTGGAGCTGGGGAGTGGGCAGCCTACCCAGACATGCCTACTGGCCCCAGTTTTATCTTGTACTGTCTAGCTGTTAGCCTACCCTAACCCTAACTCCCTGCTATCCTCCCTCACCCAAAGACTGTAACACTGAGCAAGGGAGTAAACAGTATGTTGTGTTCATCTTAGAAATCCAGAGGAGGTCACATAGTGCCTCTGCATAGACATCTGCTCCAAGCCTGCCTCTGTCACTACTATAACCAAGGGTTTTGCCTCTGTGTCCTCAGGTTTTGCTCTAAGAATCTACAGAGGCTGACTTAGAATCTATAGAATCTGCCTCGGCAAGATTGCAGCAGAAGGCAATCTTGAGCTGTCTTCTTGAGCTGAAGTGTTTCTCCCCAACATACAAATATTGATTTCCTGCTTCCCACACTGTCTAACTTTTCTCCACTAATATTGCTTAATTGCTTAATCTTAGTGCAGAAGGATGGAGGGTAAGATGTAAGAAGCCTTACATGTGGGAGGCCAAGAACATATATCCTGAGGCCACAGTCTTGCTTTAGACTTGACCACACCTCCTTTCATCTGGACTGCACCAGGATCTATAAGAATAAATGAGTTAAGGTGGTATAAAAAGGGAAAACCCATACATATGATTTTAGAAGGAAGTGCTGACTTCATGCTAAATACTTAAATGCATGTATAATTCAGTGTTTAATTGCATGACTGGACTCAAGATAGAAAGCTTTCTTTGCAGTCTTTGCTTAGACTATGCAATATTTAAGGAGTCCTCATTCTAGCCTAGGCCCTAAAGCAGACAATTTGAATGCCTTTTCTTATCTTTCCTCCTTACAATTGAAGCTCAGAATGATTCCATCTTGCCCAAAAGCACATGGCCAGTAGGGGAGCCAGAAGTCAACTCAAGTCTCCTGGGCCTAGAGCCTAGCTAGGTTCCTTCTGTTTCATGACTCTCCTCCCACCTCCACCCCCAGTGTACCCAGGAGATAGGACACAGGCCTGTAGGGGGCAGAAGGCCACCTCAACACTGAACTGTGATGAGAGGGCTCCCTCTCACCCAACTTGATTATCAGTGACTCAAAGTAGAGAGCAAGAGACCTACATGCCTGCTGGGAAAGACATACCCACAGTGAGGATCTCAGTACCAAGCTAGTTCTCTAGGCTAAAGGATAGGAAAGAGCAGATTGAACTGAAGGGAGAGGGAGGCAGAATGTGTGTGTGTGTGTGTGTGTGTGTGTGTATGTATGAGAGAGAGAGAGAGAGAGAGAGAGAAAGGGAGGAGGAGAGAGTGAAGGGAGGTTAAGAGCCAGGAACCTTGTTCCCAGGCCCTCCATGGGAGCACCCATACCTGGGGGACCCCTGGTGTGCCAATCAAGGGATCCTACCTTGGAGTTGGTCCCCTACCCTCCCTCAATCTAGGCCCTGGCTGACCAGGGGCCCATAAGTACCTCCTTCCTATCTAGGATCTGCCCATGTCTCCTGTCCCCTCTCCTCCAAGATAAATGGTTGCTTCCTAGGGCCACAAAAAAAACTCTCATTTCTTGTCACTTGGAGATGTCCAGTTTCCTATCTGCTGTCCATGGGACCCTGCCCTTTCAAGACACTGATTGCTACCATCACCTTCTAGTTGTCTGAAGTGATATGTTTATTTTATTCCATCAAGGTCTTTATATTTTATTTACTGATGCTATTCTTTAAAGCTCTTCAGAATCTTAAAAGATCTTTTGCTGAGACTCATAGTATAGTTAGGAAACAGGTTTTATTTTTTTATTATTCTTTAGACTCAAGTCTAAAGGGGGCATCTTGTTCCCAGAGGAGGGAACTGAATCCAGAGGAGTAGGTGGCTCTCCAAGGGCCTCATAGTGTATTCATAGCAGCTTAGGGCCTACAGTGGGAATTCATCAGGGAAAATTTCTCTAAAATAAGACAAAATTTCCATGAAATACTTAGCAGCTCTATTCCTGTCCCCGACTTCTTTGTGGGGTCAGGCATCATGAGGCAATTGGAAGCATTCACCCTTGGCAGTGACAGAAGTGTGTTCAGTTCCTATGAACTCCACCTCTCTATTGACAATAGGCAGGCCCACCACCAACACTCCCTGAACCCAGAGAGGTGCATGAATGAAAGCCCCCATACATGTGCTCAGCAGAGTTACATATATAACAAACTGTTAAATATATGATTTCTACCCTTCAACCATGACAAGTACACCACCATAATGGTTGTATATTTATATAGCTGGTTGGAAGGCCAGCTATGAATTTGAATCTCAGACCCTTTAGAGTTCTGCTCTGATATGATGGACTGAGAAGACCTGGCCTACAGCCCTCTCCCCTATCTGTACCTGACCCTCCCTCCTTGGGTTAGTGTCTGCATCATGAGAGGCCTCACACTAACCCCCACACCCCTGCCAACAGCACATACTTGGTCACCCCCAAGACCTCAGGGCACCTAACTCAAAACCCCAACGTGCCCTCAGGAGTATGGTTCCAAGAAAAAGGCCTATATGGACCTTGAAAGAAGACTTGGGGTCACCTGGGAAGGGAATTTCAGTGCTCCAGATACCTGGAGCCTCATTTCATCTGGGGCTTGTAGGCTATCACTGGGCACACCCCTTTGCCCCAGGGACTCTTTACCTCTTGGTAAATGATGTAGCCAGAGGAGAGCCAGAAAAAGGCTTCTATAGCGTGGGGCCATGGCAAGGCCCTCACTTGCACAGAAGAAGGGGGACCAGTCATGTGACTTTAGGTGCCCATTAATTTCCCTGTGCGTGAAAATAGAAATAACATCTCCTATCTTGTATTGTTGCTTTGGGAATCAAATGAGAAACTTTATATTAAAAATCTGGCAGGGTGTCGGTGCAGTAAATGTTTTCTTCTTTGCCTCTGGTCATCTCAGGTCTTCCCTAGTTTTCTTTCCTTTTCACCATCACCCATCTTCCCACACCCGTTGCATTCCAGTCTCTTCTTTCTCCCTAAAGCCCATGTGGGACTCAGTTTGGAACATCTGGCCTCAGTAGCCCTCTTCTCCCATGTTTGGCTGCAGGAGACTGTGATATGCCACTTTGAGCTTTTTTTCCATTTAGAAAGTATTCTTGGATTTTTCTGATTTTAAGCAAAGGAAGATATTGCGGTCTACAGACTCGGGTAGAAACTTCATATTGCTCTTTTGCTTGCTAATGAGAAGTTTCAAAAAATCCCTTTGGGTCCTGACCAAAACCTCTTGGCTTTTCCTTGGCAGGAATCGATTTCCTGAGATGTCAAAATATGCCACTGAGCAGAACTCACAGAGGTTTGTATTTCGTTCTTGCTGGTTTTGAAACAGATGAAAGATGCTTCCTTATGTTGCACTCAGCAGAAATGCTCAGGCCTATGTAACTTACTCTCAGCCTACTTGGTACTGACGGCCTGTAGAGGAATTCAAGGCACTGTCACATTCAGATCTCTTTTCAAAACTCTCCTCTAAAACTCACTTTCAGGAAAAGAATTAGTTCCTCACCTTTGCTTCTTGTAACTTAAGCCTGTCTTCATGAATGTTCACCCTTAATTCCTATAAACCACAGCTGTGCCAGGTCAGGCCCTGCACCAACCTGTCTCTCACACTGCCACTGAGAGTCTTTGATGTGGCGGTCTCTTAGAGAAATACACTTGTATTAGTGTTAATGAAACTTTTCAGATCTTGCTCTCCCCACTGCATCAGGTTATTGAGGAATAAAGTTTAGCCCCCAACTCCTCAAACTTGTCAACTTTTAAGTTTCACATTGTTTAGGATCAGGGTAAGACATCCAGGATTTCTTTCTGGGAGGAGTTATCAGAAAATTACTGAAACACTTAAGTTGCGTTCTTTACACAGTTTTTCCATGAGTTAAGGCACGTTTTCCTTCTAATTTTACCTAACTCTATTTTCCCATCTCAAAACGTACTGGCCTTTGAGATATGTGTGATAACATATAAGTAATTTGCCTTCATTTGGCAAATTGGTATGGAGTACCTACTCAATGAATAGCAGGCATCCTCTGGGAATGTAGAAACTTGATTCTGTTCTGCAATACTATGTATGAATTTGAGAGTTGAAGCCTCTGAGAGAGAATTCTGAAAAGGATACCCTTGTCACTTGTAAGTTCAGTTCTAAGTCTTAGAAATTGTGGCTTATTCAAAGCTGCTATGGCCTCTTCCCACTTCCCCTGCCCTGCAGTGCTGCCTTACCTAGGTCCTGCCCAGGTGCCTGCCTCCCCTACTGCTGTGAGCTCCATGTTCCTGACCTGTGTCTTCTCTCTCCCATCTGTTCTCCTCTAACAGTCCCAATAGGAAGCACATAGCACCTACTTTCACCCATCACAGTCTACCTTCAAATGGAACTACACCACTTTTTTATGTAGTATGAGAACTTTACAATGGAATGGTTTCATTATTTTCTACTCCTGACCTTTATACTATTAACATACATTTATTCTACATATTTTACATAAATGCTGCATTGTTAATTTTGCTCACACAGTCATATATCTTTTAAAGAATCTGAATATTTAAATAATTATCACTTACAATATTGTTCATTCCTCTGATTATATCCGTATTTCCATTTGCTTCATTTTTTTTTTCATTCTAAAGAATTTCTTTCAGTATTGTTTATATGGTGGTTCTGTTGGGAATGGATTCTTTCAGTGTTTGTATGTCTGAAAGGTTTTTATTTCACCTTTGGTTTTAAAAAGTAATCTTCCTCGCGTACAGAATTCTGGGGATTTCTTAACTTCAGTTTTTTAAAGATATTGTACCATCTTTTCTTGCATTGTTCCCAAAGAAAAATGTCGTTCCCTGCTCCTGAGCTTCTTATGTTTGGTTCTCTGTGTATAACTTATCTTCTGTCTCTGGCTGTTTTTAAAAGTTTCTCTTGGGCCTCCCCGGTGGCGCAGTGGTTGAGCGCTGGGTTGCGAAGCTGCCTGCAGCCTCTGCAGCACCGGTTCCATCCCAGGCTGCCTGGCGAGGGTCCCACAGGGTGCGCAGACCTTTCCTGCCACACCCGCTGCTCCCCTCAGCAGTGTACTTAGGTCCTTCTGACTGTTCTGCTCCCTGCTCTGACTCTGGTGAATTCTCTCACCCTCCCACGCTTCTGACTGTACCCAATGCTTGTATAAATAAATAAATAAATCTTAAAAAAAAAAAATAAAAGTTTCTCTTTATCACTGGGTTTTACTTTATTTTAAAAAAGATTTATTTATTTATGCGTACAAGAACTTGAGTACAGGCTGGAGATATGGGGGTGGTGGTGAGAATATTCACCAGAGACAGAGTGGGAAACAGAACAGGTGGAATGACTGAAATACACTGCTGAGGGAGCAGCGGGCAAGACAGGAGAGGTCTGCTGTGGTATGTGGGAAGGCTCCCTGGCTCGGGATGGAACTCATGCTGCAGCTGCAGTGGCTCTGAGATAGCTTTATAGTGCTGAGACTTAACCCCTTGTGCCACTAGGAAGGCCTCTCTTTATCATTGTTTTTGAGTAATCTTGTTACGGTGTGTCTTACTGTAGCTTTCTGCATGTTTCTTTTGCTCAGAATTTGTTGTACTTCTTGGTTATGTGGGTTTATGTTTTTATCAGATTTGGAACATTTTGGCCATTATTTCTTCAAAGAACTTTTTCTGTTTCCCAGCTCCCTCCCCTTTCCCTTTAGAGAGCTTGTGCTTTGTTAATTTTTCCCCATTCTTTTTTCTCTCTAAAATCTATTGAATAGTTGGGGATCATTTCTACTGCTGTGTCTTCAAGCTCACTAGTCTTTCTTCTGCAGTGTCTTATCTTCCATCTAATCTCAGACATTGTAGTTTTCATCTCTTGAAGATTGATTTGAATCTTTCTATATCTTTCATGTTACTACCTAACATGTTCAGTCTTTCTTTTAGCTTCTTGAATATCTCTAATACTGTTATAATAATTGTTTTAATGTCCTTCTCTGCTGACTCTAACATCTATGTCAGCATGGAGCAGTCTATGTCAACTGATCATTTATCTCCTCTATGTGGGTCTTATTTTTCTACTTTGCATGTCTGATTATTTTTTATTTGTCGCCAGACATTGTTGCATACTGGATATTTTTGTATTCCTATAAATATTCTTGAGCTTTGTTCTGGAATGTGGTTAACTTATTTGGGAACAGCTGATGCTTTTGGATCTTGCTTTTATGATTTGTAGGTGGGTTTGGAGCAGGACTCCCACTTTGAGTTAATTATTCCCCACTACTGAGGAAAAACCTTCCTATGTATTCTACCCATTACCCTGTGAATTATGAGTTTTTAAATCTGGCTTGTGGAAATGGGCACTATTTTCAGCTCTCTATGACCTCTGAGGATTGTTCCTTTTAATCCTTTAGGGTGGTTCTTTTCCTGCCTCGGGCAGTTTATTCATATGGGTATGCTGTTCAGTACTCAGCTGTCTGCTTTACAGATCCTTGAGATTTTCTCTACGTGCAGCTTTCTCCTCTTTGATACTCTGTGAATTCTAGCCAGTTGACCTCCCCAAATTCTCAGCTTTATCTCCACAGCTCAGGGAACAGCACCCCCACCACACACACACACAAACACATGGCTCCACTCAGGTTCTCCTTCTCCTGTCTCCGTGCAGTAAGTCAGGGGGAGCTATAGGACTATAGGACTTGACTCATTTGTTTTACAGCTCTCAGAGATCACTGACCTTCATTCCCTGTTTGCCAAATATTAAAAATTATTACTTCATATATTTATCCAGCTTACTATTTCAGGTTGGCAGGTAAAATTACTATTTGATACTCCATCTTGATTGGACTGGAAGTATATGTAAACCTAGTTTATGTGAAGATATTCATGACATCAAATGTTTCCTCCATTGTTGTGTTTGCAAGGATAGTACTTTTTAAGTACTTTATTTTGAAATACAGAAGAATTACATATATAGTACAGAGAGTTTTAGTATACCCTTCACTCAGGTTCCCTTAATGTTAGTATTTTTGTTTGTATTTTTTGTGGTACACAAGTAGTGATTGCTAATGGTTAAATGTAGATATATGTATAAATAGAAATAAAGAACATTTTTAAAAATATGTTACATTTTTATATATGAGATTGTAAATAACAATGATTACATATTGTAAATATTTTTTTCATGGGAATATATAGGGGTAATGTGTGTGTGTGTGTGTGTGTGTGTGTGTGTGTGTGTGTGTGTGTATAAAGAAAGTAAATTTTTTTTCCATATTCCCACCACAGCAAATGCAGTAGGGAACTTTCACTGTCTTCCCCTTTGGGAAGTGTCGGAAGGAACAAAAACTTCTGTTTTCTTCTCAACACTTACCCACTCTTCTCAAGCATATAAAAGTAACTATTCTGGTGAAGGCCAACATTGTGCCATATTTTGCTAGTGGAAATGGTTAAAATATTAAAGATCAGTTCTTGTGGGCAGACTCATGTGACTTCTCCTTGGCTTCCTATTTCTATGTGGTAAATCTACCTAGCACAAGGACCAGCACCTACTTCTGTTTTTCTCTCCCTTCCATAGTAGTTAAGTAAATGAAACAGGCCAGTAGTCCATGAAGCTACTGGGGAATTGGTCTCCGAGTCAGTTCTGTGGGTCCAGTTAAATTCAAACCAGTTAAATTCTTAAATCTCTATCCAGGGGTGGAAACAGAGGAGGGGAAACAGAGGAGGTTCTACTTTGGCTTCAATTACTGTTCTCTTGGCCAACAGATAAGAGAGTGCCCTTTGTTGGAAGTTATTGGTATTTTTCTCATTAGAATAAAGCTATTATTTTTATACCCATTTGCCTGGTGATTTTCTGGTGACCAGAATCCCTAAGGAAAAAAGGGCAAGTAATAAGATAGGTATTCCCAACTTCACACCTAAGCCCCCATACACTTTGTCATCATTTTTAATAATAATGTAGAATTACTTGGTACAGTTATACCCATGATACATTTGTTCAGTTCTCTATTGCTATACATTTAACTTGTTTTCAAATTCTCACCAATATAAATAATAATCATTTTTATATTGTGCTTTTATAGTTGTTTATTTTCTTATTCCTGTCATTTTGATAAATTTCTGCCAACTAAATAATGGTGTCTACATCTAATCTTGAAATCTCACAGATAGATTTCCCTTATGCCTAGATAAATAACCCAAAGATTCTACTCTATTTTTGCAGAAGAATATTTAAAATATCAAAACAGCAAAAAACAGACAATTAAAATCTGTCTTATTCTATTATATAAAATATACAATGTTAAATAAGAATTTAAGGCAGATTTTTAAAAATACAAATTTCCTTAATTCACTGTAGCAATTTTCATGTTAATCTTTGATTCTTCTCCCTTACTGCAATATATATATAGATTGTTCCTCAAACCCAAAGAGAAATGAAGCTTCTGATTTAAGCTTTGTTTGTTTGTTTTGGTTATTTATGTTCATTTATTAAATGTTCCTAGAGATGTTCTTATTTTTAAGGTGTGAAACTGAGGATTTTAGAAAAGGTTGACAAGTAAACTTCTTTCATATGGTGTTCTTTTTGCTTTTAATTTTCTGTAATGGATTTGCCTTCCTAACTATCTCCTTAGGGCTTATCTGAGATGGCCTACATTTGCCCTTTCAAACTCTAAAACTCGCCTTTCCTCTCCTTGAAGCAGGCATAAAGAGAATGGCAGCCAGGCCCACGTCCCAGGGTCTAGCACCTGACACTAAGCAGAGACTTGTAAACATTTATGCAGATTTTTATAGTGAACACTGCCCTCAGCAACAGACTGAGCCCTGGGGATTATGCTCTCCAGCAAGACTATTCTCTATTGACTAGATCCTGAGCCTTATCCTTGTTTTGTTCAAATGAGGAGCTCAATCTTAAGTTCTGAGGCTACATTGCAAACACAGTGTGAAATGTCTTCCAAAGTGTTTTTTGTTTGAACGAGCATTATAGGGCACTATTTCAGGTAAGGGCTCTTACAGGAAACAACCCCCAGTTGACTAAGTAGCAGACTTTGGAAATAGTGGGTTCCCATGAAGGGTGCTCTTTCTTCAGAGCTGAATTGTTCAAAGAAGCTGAGTAACAAGGGGGTCATTCCATCCTGTCCATCCCTTGAGTCAAGAATCACTGCCAGCCTGGCCTGTGTGTACACCAAGGGGCAGAACCCCAGAGATCATTTCCCCGCCAGAGCCAGGAGTTCAAAGTTAACACCAGGGCAAAATGGGAAAGGTCACAGAACAGTTAGTAATGCATACAGCAGGTAAAGAAAAGAGGGCATATAAGCAAAGGCCCAAGGCACTAGAGGCCCTCCATAAAGCAATTGTTATTGCTAAGATATAAGAAATATATCGTACGCTAACTAACCTCTGCCTCCTCTACTGTCTTCTTTTCTGCCCTCTTTTTTTTTTAAAGATAGTTTATACAAGAACTGGGGTATATACCAACAATTATGTTTTACTTATTGACCTAAAAGAGGTATATATTTTCTAAATTATGTTTTATGTGTAATTCTGTTTTCACTACTAGTTACTGTGTTAATTTGTGCTGTAGTATTTCCTAGAAGAGAATGGAAAAATGACTTAACTTTTAAAAACTACAGCAGTTGGACAGATCATTTTTATTTGAAATTTTAAGCACCGAAAGTTCTAAATAAACAGATAACATTCAAAAATAAAAAAAAAAAAACTGGGGTACAGTCAGAGGTGCGGGAGGGTGAGAGAATTCACCAGAAATCGAGCAGGGAGTAGAACAGGCAGACGGACCAAAGACACTGCTGAGGGGAGCAGCAGGCGAGGCAGGAGAGGTCTGCTATGCCATGTGGGTTTCTCCCTGGCCAGCCGGGAATAGAACCCATGCTGCAGAGGCTGCAGACAGCTTTACAGCTCAGTGCCCAACCCGCTGTGCCACCGGGGAGGCCCTTTTCTGCCTTAAGTGCTCTTTCTTGCTCTAGACTTCCTCCCTGTGTGATCCCTTTGACTTGCCTGATATTGAATCCATCTCAGGCCTGTTCCTCAGCTTGTAACCTCCACTGCCCTGGACTCACTCTCCCCAGAATCATGGTCCTCTGGCTCTCCTCCATTACCCAAATGACACCAGGGAATGTTGGCTCTGTCCCCAACATGCTTCTCAGACTGGCTCTTCTGTTCATCCCACTGCCCTTCCTTTGGTGCAGATTCATCCTGTCTGCCTGGATAATTACAGTCTTCTCCAGCTTAGCCTCCCTGACACCAGTCACTCTCATCTCTAAATCAGATATCACAGGGCTACCAGGATTTGTATAAAATCCCAGGTCTGACAATACCCACTCTAGCTTCCAAATCTGCCATGGCTAAAGTCCAAGTCTTTAGCAGGCAGTCATAATATGCTCCCCAGTGCAGGGCTCCCTATCACATGAGTATACTGCATTAAAGTTTTCCACATTGGTTACCGATTGCTCAATATTCTCATCTGAGGTTTTTTGTTTTTTTAAATCGGTCCCCATAACATTTCAATGTTCTCAATTCTGAGGATTATTTTTCTTTATAATTCCTTATTCATATTCTTTATTACGGATTTTCAAATCTATCTTACATTCTTTACTCTTCCATTTAAAATATAATTAGTATTTATTCCATGATTTTTCAAAGCTCCTACACATAGTTTGGCTCTTTTTATACTTCTTAAAACTTTCAAATTCAACAGGAAACAAGTGAGAGTTCGGAATGCATAAAATTCCTTAAGTAAATATACAGTCAGAAATACCTGCATTTCACATGAACACGTTTATGTACTGTTCAAAAAACATTACATAGAATGGGAATTCTAGGTTTAAATTAAAGAAAGTTGACTCTATAAATGATCAGAAATATAGCTCCATACTTGCCTGTCACCTCTCAGTGTCAACATTTATAAATTAACTGACATACTTTTTACATGATCACTGGCATGTTTACATGATCACTTGCCAAACATGATGTTTAGCAGGAGGGATCAAGTAAAAAATGTGTCCATATGAACTCTAGAAAAAAGGACACAGTATTTCATGTAGCTGTTTCCCAGCATGGAGCCCACTGTGTTGTAGTGTAAGTGTATCCTACTACCCAAGTATGGTTGGGCAGTAGGGGGCACTCCATAGATGTTGTGGGTCCATGGATGTGGCAGTGCTGGTGTATTTTCATAGCCAAGCATTCTGTCTCTAAGAGTGGTATCAGAGTACTGCTCTTTAAAAAGAACACCTGTTCTTCCTGATGTAACTCCCAGTTTATATAACTATATATAAAGGAAGACACAGATGTCTTTCCCCAAACATCTGTGTCTTCCTTTATATATAGTTCAGTATTCCAAACTTTTATGTTGTAAGCAATTACATTCCCCAGTCTGTACGGGTACTTGCCACAGAAAATCTCGCAATGTGATTTAATGCTACTTTTCCTTGATCCTAAAACTAACTCTTTTCCCATCCTCAAGGAAACTCCTCTAGAACCAATATCTTGAGATTACTGATCAATTCTACCAGGTCTACTTTTCTTGAACTATATCTGTACCAATCTAGTCTGAAAAGGTGACATGAACTTCCTAAGCTGAACACTATTCCTGGTGCCTGGCACAGCACCTGCCCACTGTAGGCACTCAATGCCTGCTTATTGAGTAACTGACTGGTCACCAAGTACATACCCCCATGACACAATGGAGACCGTTTCATGTGTGAATACCAATGCCTTTGGACGTTTTCTCATGACCATGGCTGGGTTAATATGACTCAGGCTTAGTCAGTGACCAGATTCTAAGCCCCGGAGACTGGGAGGCAGATATGCAGTCTTTCTGCCATAACCACTAGACCACAATTTGCCTTTGCAACAATAGACTCTCTGACCCTCATCCTCTCTCCTCATCTCTCTGTCCCCTTGGGGAAAGAGAAGATGCTATCATCTACTATGCAGTTAGGTTTAGCAATTTAATGTTGGGTCATATGCAGGGAACCATAAATTGTAAACAAACACCAAGGCTGCTGTTGTTATTCAAAGTTTTTACAGGGACCTCTCTAGACACGAGCTGGCTCCATGCAGGCACACTTCCCCGACAGATCTTGCCACAGATCATCCCACTGAGAGTCAGCATGCTGAAGTTTCTAATTGGTGGAGTTGTCTAGTCATTAGATTGCTATCCATCTGAATGGTAGTTTTCCATCATGAGTTGTCTAATGTAACTTGTTCAGATCAGGCCTAGTAGCGTCACCGGTATCCATCTCCTCTGCTCAGTACTCTGCTTCTCTGTAGTCACAGCTCCCTCATGCATGTCATCATTGCTGGTTGAGTCCTGCTGGACAAAAGATGAAGTTAGGCTATAGAATCAAATGCCATTTCACAACTTCATATAGTAACATGTTACTGTTCATTCACTGAGCAATTGTTGAATACCTACTAAGTGCTCAGCAAGGCCATAATGATACAGTCATTAGAGATGGCTCCTGGTCTCGTGTACCCTGCAATGCATTGAAATCAACTGATGGTTGAACAAGCAATTATAATCTGGGGATACTTGCTGTGATGGGAGAAATGTAGAGTGCCATGTCGTCCACCCTTTTTCCTCTTTCATTGGGAAATATAGATACAGCAAAGTCATATATACAAGCTGGTGAATAATTATAAAGTGAGCACATGGCCCAAGTCTAACTGAGAATATTTGCCAGTACCCTAGAAAACCTCTGTTCCTCTCTGATAAAAAGCATATCCCACCCATCCTCACTTCCATAATCACTCTCCTGCCTTTGAAGTAATCATTTTATTACTCTTTGTTTTACCTCCAGTGATTGCATCACCAAAGAATATAGCTTAATTGGACATCCCTGTGGTCTAGGGGTTAAGTCTCTGTGTTATCACTGCTGCAGCCTGAGTTCCATCCACAGCCAGGGAGCTAACCCATATGGTGCAGCAGAACTCTCCTGTCTCACCTTATGCTCCCCTCAGCAGTATATCTCAGTAGATCTGCCTGTCCTGCTCCCCACTCTGTCTCTGGTGAATCCTCTTACCCCCTGCACCTGTGGCCTACCCCCCAGTTCAAAAAAAAAATAATAAATTAATTTTTAAAAAAGGAATATAGCTTAATTGCCCTGTTCTAGGAATGAAGTCATTCTCTACATATTCTTTAGCATCTGACTTCTTTCATTCAAATTTATCTTCTGTGAGATTTTTTTCACTTTGTTTTAAACAGTTTGGGGTTGTTCGTTTTGATTGCTGTATAATATTCCATCTTATAAATATACTATAATGTATCTATTGATGGACATTTGTCTTCTTTTCAGTTTTTGCCTGTAGTGAGCAATGCTGCTGTGAACATTCTTGTTCATGAGTCCTGGCACACACATGAATGGACTTCTCTATACCTGAGATTGGATTTGCTGGCTTATATGGTAAGTGCATGTCCAATTTTAGTGGCTATTGTCAAATGGATTCCATAGTGCAAGCATAACAATTTTATACTTCTTCCTCAGGACACACAAGTTATGTTGCTCTGCATTCTTGCCTATACTTGACACTGTCAGTCTTTTCTTAATTTTCACTGATATGTTTGGTATATTTCATTTGGGATTTTATTTAATATATCCCTGATTACTAGCTATTGTGGGTGAGGGTTTTGGTTTTTGTTTTTCATGTACTTCTGGGCTATGTGGATTTTTTCTGTGAAAATGTCATACATTTTGCCAATTTTTCTGTTGGGTGTTTTTCTTTATCCTGATGATTTATGTTTGTATTCTGGATAGTAATGTTTTGGTGATTATATGTGGCACATGTCTTCTCTTGTATTTCTATACTCTTTATGGTTTCATTTCATGAAGCATGTCCTAACTTTAATGTAATCACATTTATGAATCTTTTCCTTTGTTTTCTGCATCTTTTGTCTAGGCTAAGAAAGTTTTCTAACTGAGGCCCATAAACATATTCTATATTTTAAACATTTTATAGCTTTCTTTTCACTTTTAATTTGTAAGCAATTATACACAGGAATTTTCAAGAGTAGTACATAAAGTTCTATGAACCCTTCCTTCAGCTCTCCCCAATGGTGATAGCTTATATAACCATTATACAATATGGAAACCTAGAAATTGACAATGGTAAATACTGTTAACTAAACTGTAGAACTTACTCATTCATCACCAGTTTTTACATGAAGCTTTTGTGTGTGTGTGTGTATGTATGTATGTATGGTTTTCATGCAATTTGATCCCATGTAGGGATTTGCCTTCTATTGTTTAGTGCTTCCTCCACACAGAATTGCTTTTGTACACAGTTTGAGGTAGATTCAGGTTGTCCTCTTCACTCCATACATAATCAATTGTTCTCACATTTTTTATTGTGTTGTCCAATGAGCTGTATGAGCACAGAAACTCTTTTGTTCAGAGCCTCGCCCTATGTATCTCTTCAGTTGGTTGTTGATTGGTAACCTTAGTCTCTTTTGTAATAAATAGATGACCTAGTGAGTGAACAAGTTTTCTGAGTTCTGTGAGCTGCTCCAGCAAATTTATAAAGCCTGAGGAAGTGGTGATGGGAACCTTTAACTTACAGTCATTTGGTTAAAAGCATAGGTAATAACTTGGGGCTCCTGACATTTTAGAATCGGTCATGAGAACCTCTAATCTGTAGTTTGTTGATCAGAAGCATAAGTAATAGCCTGGGCTTTTGGCTGGTGTCTGAAGTGGAGGATAGTATAGGGAGACTGAGCTCCTAACCTATGGAATCCGTTTCTATCTCTGGGAAGTTAGTGCCAGAATTTAATTGATTCTCAGACCTGTGCCTGTATCCGAGAATTGCTTGTTGGTGTTAGAAAGTTTATTGGCTTGTTTGGAAGCCCACACAAACACACATGCACATGCATGCATGGGCACATACATAGGAACTTGGGCTCAGAAACTTTTTTGCTGGGACACCTGGTAAATTTATGTTTAAGTTTTTAGGAAATTGCCATAAGGGTTTCCAAAGTAGCTTCCTACCAGTAATAATATTTGAGGATTTTGATTTCTCCACATCTTTGCCAACATTTGTTACTGTCTGTATTTGATTATAGCCATTGTAATGGGTATGAAACGGTATTTTTTTTAATATTTATTTTTATTTATACATATTAGAACTGGGGTACAGGCCAGAGTTGTGAGGGGTGAGAGGATTCACCAGAGACAGAGTGGGGAATAGAACAGGGAGATTGACCAAAATGCAGTGCGGAGGGTTGCAGTGCGGAGGGTAGCAGTGGGCAAGTCAGGAGAGGTCTGTTGCGCCATGTGGGTAGCTCCCTGGCTGGGGATTGAAGTCATGCTGCAGTGGCTTCCGCGAGCTTCATAGGTTGGGTCTTAACCCCTTGCGCCACCAGGGATGCCCCCTGAAATGGTATTTCATTGTAGTTTTAATTTGCATTTCTGTAATGATTTTGAGCATATTTTCACGTGCTCATGTAGCCATTTGTGGTATCTACTGTGATTAAAGTATCTGTTCAAATCTCTTATCCATTTTTAATTTGAGTTATTGTACTATTGAATTTTAGCAGTTCATATTCTGGATATAATTCTGTTATGGACTCATGGACAGAATGTTGACATCCTAACCCCCACATTCATATGTTGACATCCTAACCCCCAATGATATTATTAGGAGGTAAGCCCTTTGGGAGGTGATTAAGTCATGAGAATGGAGTATCCATGAGTGGAATTATTAGCCTATACAAAGGCTTCCACAGAGCTCCCTTATGTCTCTGTGCCATGTGAGGATACAAGAAAACAGCTATCACCAGAACCTAACTCATCCTGCTGCCATCCTGATCTTGGATATATGGCCTCTGGAACTGTGAGAAATAAATTCCCACTGTTTCAGATCCACCCAATAGAGTACTTTGTTATAGCAGCCTGAATTAACTAAGACAAAGTCCTTTGTCAGATAAGTGTTTTGAAAATATTGTTTTCTTAGTCTGCATCTTGTCTTTTACTATGCACATATGTGCCTTGGAATTTTATGTGTGGGATTCTTTGAGGACTGAACAGAAACTACATTGATCCAGGGATGAATTGTGTTTGCTTCTGCCAGTCAGCTGGGGCACTTGCATGATCCAAGATGGTGCCCCACCAAGTTTGCATTCCAGCCTTTTGGCCAGAACCCCCATTTTCCAGTAAATCACCAAAATGACCAATGCAAAAGGAAGAGGAAGGCATCTGCTATACGTTCTCTAGGCGTTTTAGAAAACATGGAGTTGTTCCTCTGGCCACGTACATGTGAATCTACAAGAGAGGTGATAGTGTAGACATCAAGGAATGCCCCATACATCTTACCATAACAAAACATGTTCAGTGTTACCCAGCATGCAGCTGGCACTGTTGTAAACAGACAATTTTACCTTTTTTGCTAGAGAATTAACATTCGTATTGAGCATTTTAAGCACTCTAAGAACCGAGATAGCTTCTGAAATGGGTAAGAGAAAATGATGAGAAAAGAAAGGAAGCCAAAGAGAAAGGTATTTGGGATCAACTTAAGCGCCAGCCTGCCCCACCCAGAGCAGCACACTTTGTGAGAACTGAATGAAAGGGGCAGCTGGAGCCCATTCCTTAGGAATGAGAAGTGTAAACAAAAAAATAAAAGACCTCTGGAATATATATTAAAAAGTTTGCTTTCCAGACAATAGGAAAAGGCAAAATGGAGACAGGCAACATGTTTCTTCACTTCCTGGTAAAGTGCACACTTACAGGAAATTGCACACTCACTCCCACTCACAATCCCAGAATTTATTTAGGTGTTATGTACAGCTCTATGGTGGGCTGGAAAATGGAGCTTTGAGCTTGGTGGCCATGTACCCAACTAAAAATCCCATGCGAAAATGGTATCTTATATTCTAATAAGTAAAAGAACGTACATTCAAACTCAAGTCTGTGTGATTCCATAGCCATGCTGCCCCTTCCACTTTTTTGCTGCCTCCCTAGAAAGAAATCAATAGGAATTTTTTTTTTTAAGATTTATTTATTTATTTATTTATACATGCACTGGGTACAGTCAGAAGTGCAGGAGGGTGAGAGAATTCACCAGAGCCAGAGCGAAGAGCAGAGCAGGCAGACCTACGAAGTACACTGCTGAGGGGAGCAGTGGGCGTGGCAGGAGAGGTCTGCGCGCCATGTGGGACCCTCTCCCAGTGGCCGCGTATTGAACCGGGGCTGCAGAGGCTGTGGGCAACTTAGCAACCTAGCGCTCAACCACTGTACCACTGGGGAGGCCCAACAGGAATTTTTTTTGATGCACTCCTAAGAATTCTCAGCCCTCCCCCCCCAAGCTAGTAAGTGGCAGAAAAGGACTTGAACGTGGGTCCATCTCAAAGAGTCACCTTCTGGCTGCATTACTTTGCCCCTTTGTACTATTCCTGAAAGGGGCATTTTCACAGTAATCTTGGTGATGTTATTCTGCATTTTTCCAGAGAGTAATAGTTACCCTCCCAATGCACATCCCTTCTCTTCTTTCCAGAGAACTAATTTTGCCCCATGAACTGGTAACCAGAATTATCACAGTCTGTTTTGTGGCACCCATCCCAATTCTGTGGCCTCCCCCAGAATTCTCTGGGCCATTGCACATGAAGGCTGTAGGGCCTCCCTGCCATGGACAGTATTTGGAGGGCAATATCCTTGATGGAATGCTCACTACAGTGACCAGTCAGGAAATGACACTGGGTTCAAGGCTACTCACAGAAGCATCTGTTTCAGCTGAAAGTTTGCCTGAATATGAAAATTGATGAGTGTCTTTTCTCCCCCACACACTTTGAAGGTTTTTGCAGGAGTCTGAGAAACCAGCTAAGTGGGAGAAATGTCTGATAGTTTCAAGAGATTTCTCCTCTTCACTGAGTTCTCATTATTGTATGTGTATGCTTTGGGTTCACTCCATTTCACTCTTTTGTATTACATATACTCTATTTAATGGATGATCAATGTCTCCCTAACTAGTGAAGACAAAATCCATTCAGTGCTGAGCAAAAGGTTAGAGAAGTTCACTTCATGTGGCATAGAAGCCATGGAGAAAATTAAGTCATTGAAGCTGCTAACAAATGTAAGGAAATCACTTTGCATCTGTACAAATAGATAGTCACAACTTTTCTTCCCACCTTCATTGGGCCATTTGCTTATTTCTAAAAATCTGAGCCCATGAGGAACTTGACTTATCTCATAGAGAATGTCTAAAATTTCAAGTTATTCATCACTCACCAACATGCTAAGATCCATCCTCTGAGCCTGTCTGCAGCTTTGGGGTTGGGCTATGGAATAGTGTGGGAGACACACAAAAGAATTAGAGGATCCCGCTCAGCTCATCAAATATTTATGGAGCATCTACTCTGTGACAGAGACTATTCCAGGCACCGTGAATAAATCATTTCCCTCCAGGGAAACACGGTTTC